GCCAGATGTGTTCTTTCCTTCACTCACGCTGCTGCTTTCCTTCTCCCAATGCTCACTGTCTTCTCTTGCTCCTGTCCTGCTGTCATGCTTCTGCCTGTACTTCTCCCCTTGGTCATTCCTCTCCCTTGCTCCCTGCCTCCCTCCCTTCCCAGCAGCCTGAGGCATCATGGCGCTCTGCATTGCTCAGGTAGGTAGAGGTAAGGAGAGGTAAGGAGGCATGGGGTGAAGTCTGGGGTGGGCGGGTGGGTGGGAAGCATGGTAGCAAGTGGGCAGCTCACTTCCTTAGGAGCAGTACCCTCTGGGGTTGTGCCTTGTGGGTCGGGGTGTGGTGGGTGGGTGGAATCTGTGCGGCACGGCACTCGGTGCTCAGATTCCCAAACTGACGTGCAAGGCTTAATGGACACCGTCAGAGCCGACCGGCCGGCGGCTCTGGTTCGCGTCAGCTCTGGCTACGTCAGGGGTGGGATTTGAGTCTTGGGCTGGAAGCAATTTTCCATTGTCACACTTCGCACCACAATGTGCAGCCACTGTGGGTGTTGTTTCCGGAGGGGAGTGGGCTGTCTGCTGCTCCTACTGCTGGCAGGTAAGGTTGGGAGGGGTGGGTGGGCTGGGTGGTCATGGTGGTGAGAGGCAGTGGGTTGGCAGTGGCATATGATGATTCATATGGCACTGATGCCACCTGTTGCATGAAAGGGTTTGATGCTCATGCTTGGTTGGTGGCACATGATGAGCTGTATGGCATGGATGCCACTTGTTGCATTAGAGTTTATGGTGGCGATTCCCTTAAGGTGGGTGAGTGGAAGAGTGGGGTGTGGGCTGAATCACCTAAGGTGGGAGAGTGGGATTGGGGCTGTGTAGAGAGAGAGGGATGTTGGCGGAATTCCCTAAGGTGAGTGAGTGGGTGAGGGATGGGGGCTGACACCCCTTAGGTGGTCAAGTGAGTGGGAAAGAGATTGGAGACTGAAACCCTTAAGGCGTGTGGCGGGTTGGGGAGGAGATGGAGGCTGGAACCTCTTAGGTGGGTGGGTGATTAAATTTGTGATGGAGGCTGGAACCTGTAAGGTGGGTGGGTTAGTGGGAGAGAGGGATGGGGTGCAGCAGACCTCTCTCTGCAGCGGCCTTCCACTCTGCCTGCTGCCCTCAACGGCAGTGCTCTGTGTGCTGCTCCTTGTGCTGCTACGCTCGTTTGGGTGGTCAGCTGGGGGTTGGTGGGTGGTGGGTGGTGGCAGGTATGGGGCAGAGTTGGTTGAATGGTCAGGTGGGAGGTGGTGGTGATGGTGGTCGTTGTAGTGGGTAGTGGTGGTGAAGTGGGTAGTGGGATGTGAGATTGGGCTGGGATGGATAGGGCAGGAAAAGGCAGAGTGGGTTGGGTAGTGTAAGAGATGAGATAGGGTGGTATGATACAGTGAGGTATGATAAGGTGTGCTGCGATACAGTATGTTATGATAATGTGTGCTATCATAAGGTGTGCTATGATTCAAAGTGATGATGAGTGTGGTGTGAGTGATTGTTTGGTGTGCTACAGTGACTGTTTGGTATGATACAGTGACTGTTTGGTATGATACAGTGACTGTTTGGTATGATACAGTGAATGTTTGGTATGATACAGTGACTGTTTGGTATGCTTCTGTGATAGGGCAAAATGGGCTGGAACGCCTCTTCTCTGCGATTTTCTCCTCCGTGTGCCATCCCTTCTCTCTGTCCCATCTGCATTGAAACCGTTCTCATCCTCAGGGCGTTCCTTCCCTTCTGCTGGGCCTTCCTTTTCATTCTTACGTCATTCCAACCCAACCCATTGAGGCTTCAGGTGAAGCCTGTTCCCATCCTCAGGTGTTCCTGTTGGTTTGGTTTGGAGCCACGCATGTGTGTTCCTTCCCTTTCCCTTAGCATGAGCAACACACCTTCCTCCATTCAAGCAAAGGTGCTGACGGGGCCCATCCTTGGGCACTACTCATGCCGCCTCTCACCTGCCTGGACCACCCTCATCACTGCTGTTGACACTCTTGCAGGCTAGATCAGGAAACACCACAATCGTTCGACAGGATACTGTAATGATGTTCAACCATTGGCCTTCATTCCTATCAAATTGCTGGGAATTGCCCAAATGCCTTGAAATGCCTTCATTCCTATCAAGTGGATTGGTGACTGCTCAGTTATAATTTAAAATAATTTTGTTCCAGAATACTTCAATTGAGTGGTGGCTTATTGCTGGAATGGCATTGCAGTATTGACATGTAAAGTAGCTTTGCAGACATCTCAAAGTTATGCATTGTTTTATAAATTGATCTTCTGTATCCTCGATATCAGCTTCGACAACCCTGTGCCTCGGCCTTGCCGCCAATTTTCGACAGTTGTCAGAGGTGAAGTCTCTGACCCACTCCCCTTCCGCTTTCGCCACAGCCACTATTTTTTCCAGCCCCCCCCCCATGCGCCTTTGCCACCCACCATTAGCTCATCGTCAGGCCGCGCTATACTCCACCATACCCGTGTTCATTAGGCTGGACGGCAGCTCCTCGCAGTCGCCATTCTGATATGGAAGAAGTAGTAGTCTGATTTTGCTCGGCGATGCCTACACGACCGCAGATTTCAGTCACATCGTCGCGTATCGTCCGCACTCACACGTCGTCCATCGCGAATTCTCTAACCGCCACGCCCATCACGCATCTTGCGAGAAGCGTACATGCCCATAGCTCAAACACAAGATAGAAATTAGTGTTTTTAACAGTTGCATGGTATTCAGTGACCACTCGGTGGAAAGATTTTCTCGAAGCCGCTTGAAGCGCCTGTAAATCAGGAAGCTGTTCCGTCCATTCTCGTTCGCTCCTCAACAGGTCGCAACACAGCTCTCGAGGCTTCCCCGCATGTCGCGGTCACATCTCGTCCCGCTCCCCCCGCGGTCAGCGCCAGGCCTGTCTCCGGTTCGGCTGGCACTGCGGTCAGTCCGCCGCGCGCAGTGCGCCTATCCGCCGTCGTCGCCAGGCAAACGCCCGCCCCGAGCTCGGCTGGCGCGCAGCGGGGAGACGCGGAGCGCCGGTGGGCGGCACGCGGAGAGGCTGGGCGAAGCGACGGCATGCGCACGAACGAGCGTCAGGTGTGGGAAACGGTGCTGCGCGGATATCGATCTCTCTTCATGATTATGTCGTGGGGTGGGATCAGATGATGAGTGGTGCGGAGTGAGGGGAAGTAGCGACATACCTCGTTTCCCTCCTTTCCCCTCCGTCCCCTCCGTCCCCGCCTTCCCCCGTCCACCCCCGCAGATGCCACGCGCAGCACGACAGCCCAGCGCCCATTTTCGGTACGCCGGAGGGGTCGAGCTCGCGCGAGGGAGAGGGAGAGGGGAATGGCACGTGGTGGGACGCGCAGTGCCTCTTCCACCCCGTGGTGCTGCCACCCGCACACGCAGCAGTACCGTCAACCGCAGCAGGAGAAGCAGACGGTGATGCAGCAGCAGCAGAAGCAGAAGCAGCAGCAGTACCAGAGGGACTCGACGAGGTAGCAGCAGGCGGATTGGAGAGGTACTGGCGCATGTACTACTATGGCCGCTCCACTAACACATGGGGGGGACCCACTCCCTCCGCTCCCTCCGCCTCCTCCTCCGCCTCCTCCTCCGCCTCCTCATCCGCCTCCTCCTCCTCCTCCTCCACACCCCTCCCTCCTCTCCCCGCGCTCTTCACCACAGGCAGCATAGGCCTGGCAATCAGCAGCGACGGCATAGCATGGACGAGAGTGCGAGGGCCGGAGGCAGGGGGCGCGATTCTCACCCCACGCTTACACGACCCTGCAGCGTTTGACTCGTTGCATGTGGGGTGTGGCGATGTGGTGTGGGTGGAGCCTGGGGATACAGGCGAGGAGGGTAGGGAAGAGGGAGGGAGCGAAGAGAGGCGAGGAGGGGTAGAAGGAGGGGTAGAGGGAGCGTGTGGGAAGGGCGAGTGGTGGATGTTTTACTTTGGAGGGGGGCGAGAGGCGCGTGAGGTGCGGGCGGGAGTGAGCGTGCACGGAGCCACGATGCGCATTGGCATTGCCACGTCCCGGGATGGGATTCACTTCCACCGCGTTGCACCTGCCGGTGCTGCCGGTGCTGCTGGTGGTGCTATTGCTAGTGGTATGAGTGACACTGGTGGTGTGCTGTCAGCAGCACCGGCGGGAGTGGTGGTGGATGTGGGGCCAGCAGGGGGACCGGATGATCTGTTTGTGGCCTGGCCGCGTGTGCTCACTCCCTCCATGCTCGCCCGTGCCATCGCCTCTGCTGCCTCCTCTGACCCTGCTCAGCCAACTCTACCTCAGGTGACTCGCTGCTACACTCAGCTCTGCCTATATGCGCTTACTAACTCGTGCCCACTCCACTGCTCGGCTCATGTTGCCCTGCTGCTTTTTTCTTTCCCTGCGTGTATGTTTTCCAGGAACCTTTCTTTCAATCCCTTGTAGCTTTTTCGGGTCGCACCGTCCGTCTCTGTGCCCCTACTCAATCCCACTCCATTCCCGTGCTCCCAACCCCATACCCATCCTCACCCAAATTACCCCCCTCGACCCTACACCCAACCGCATTCCCACCCCCATCCTCAACCCCTCATCCCATCCCACCCCACCCTTCCCACCCCACTCCACCCCTCAGCACCGCTGGCTGATGACCTACAGCGCCATGTCCTCCACCTCCCCCTCCTCCATCCTCCTCGCCTCCTCCCCCAACGGCCTCTCCTGGTCCTGCCACGGCCCCATTCTCTCCCCAGGCGCACCCGGTGCATGGGATGCAGCAGGGGTGGGTCGGCGGCATGTGACTGTTCATGGGGGTGTGCTGGCCATGTGGTATGAGGGCGTGGGGGGGGACGGCAGGCATGCCATAGGGCTTGCGATCTCGCGGGATGGGTTCACGTGGGGGAAGGTTGAGAGGGAAGGGTGCGAGCCGGGAGGGCCGGTGTTTGGGCCGTGGGAGCGGAGGGAAGCTGGGGAAGGGGAGAGTGATGGGGGTGCGAGAGGGAAGGGGGGACAGAGTGCAGTTGAGGCTAGGGAAAGGGATAGGGATGGGGATGGGGATGGGGATGGGGATGGGGATGGGGATGGGGATGGGGATGGGGATGGGGATGGGGATGGGGATGGGGATGGGGATGGGGATGGGGATGGGGTACATGCATGGGAGGACCTAGTGGTGGCAGCACCTCATGTGGTGTGCATGGGGGATGGCTCCATGCGGCTGTACTATGCTGCGCGGGGCACGGGCAGCAAGAGCTCCTCGGACTTCAGGATTGGCGTGGCGTTTGGCACGAGCAGTGAGCTGGGCACGTGGCGCAGGGGGGGTGAGGGGTTGTTGTAACGACTGGGCTTTTCTGGGGTGCTGTTGTGAGGGACGAGGAGGGAGAGACTGTTGCTGCTGCTGTACCGCTGCTCCATGTAAATGATGGTCCGCCTCACCTGGGAGTGCACTGCAGTGAGGTCAACCTGTTGGTAGGGGGAGAATAGGTACACCGGAACAAAAGATTAGAAACTGGGAGAAGAACTGAAAAGCACAACGTTACTCAACAGCTCACCTGACGCTTCTGGAATAGCAGGTTGAGCGCGTTGAGTGCCGTGTGCACATCTGCCAAGAAGAACAGGAAAAAATGAAACTTCAACGACGTCACCAACTGGTACATCGTCTTGTCCGTCTCCTCGAGCATGACGATGACAGCAGGGAACACGCGGACGAATCGGGCGATAGCATCGCCACGACTCAACCAGCGGACGGAGTGGATCCCTTGGACCTCGAGGTTGGTGTGCGTGAACACCTCCTGCAGCTCCTTGAACTTGCGGTTGTAGTTGCTGGATCTGCCTAGATCTTCCGCCAATGCGCGGATGACTGCGTCGATGATGCCAAGCTCGGGCAGGGCCTTAGCCGCCTCCTTTGCAGCAAGCGCCTCCCTGCCACGGGTAGAAAAGCACAGGTGGTGGTGTTAGAATTCGCACTGCCACGTTGCACATTTCACACCGCTACAACACCACCACAGCAACAGTTTACCTGTGTGCGATGCAGTGAGAAGCCACCACGTGCGGGATCTCCAGGCGAAGACGCCCAACGAGGCCCGTGTCGTTTCCTATCATCACAGGTGCCCCATCGGTGCTGATACCCGCCACCTTCTCCAGCGGGAGGTTGATACTGTCAAGGAATTCCGTGAGCTTTGAAAAAAGTGAGGCTGCATCACACTTCTCGATGGAGAGGTTAGTCAGGAACTCTGTGGTGACGGCGTGCTCACGCAGAAAGGTTGCAAACACAATCATGTGCTTGCCTTTGACGCGGTCCGTACTCTCGTCGCAGCTCAGACCAATGAAGGGACTCGTGTCGACGAATTCTCTCTGGCGCGTACGAAGGAATGTCGCTAATGCGGCGGTGATCTCCTCGAATCCGTACCTGCACGGGCATCAACGGGTGTGGTCAGAGATATCTGCAAGTACATCACAACCCGCTGCAAGTTGAACAGGAGCAATGTCACTTACGTCGTGTAGTAGGCACCATAACTGCGCTTTGGGAAGCCCGGTGTGCCACGCTGCGCCAGGTGCTGGACGAGGTCCACGTACATCTCGATCGGGGCGTCGGACTTAGCGATGAAGAGCGCCGTCTGAAACAGCGCGAGCAGGCGCTCCTTCTCCTCGTCTTTCACCTTCGGGTTGTCGTCAATCCGGCGGTTAGCTTTGAGAGCCGCCTCGGCTGTCTTCTGCCTGCGCACAGCGCGGCGGTGCTTCCTTGTGCGCTGATGCTTCCGCATCGCCTGGGTCTGCACATCGGTCGCCCCTTCTCCTTTGGCGCCGAAGTTCGTCCCCGTACCGGCGTGCGCAATGCAGATCTTGCACTTGATTGACGGGAACCCGAAACTATTCTGCAGCAGTACAAGCCACGGGTAGTCAGTAGACCATTGTTTGTTAAACATTAATAAGGCTTCTTGGTATTTCTCCTCGGCAAAGTCGGGCAGTTCTGTATCGGAAGACACCTCAACCGCTTTCCCCTTCATTTTACGCTGACGGGCCTTCGGGGAAGAGTTCCCCGCACCGGACGTTGGTGTAGCTTGACTGGGACCCCACTGGATCTTTGTCTGGTGGTACCTCAGTTTGATACCCTTTTTAAGACGTGGACCTTGCCGAGTAGTTCCGGCAGCGACAGGTTGACGGTTCCGTGTGGGATCGGGAGCGGCAGGTGTTGATCCAACAGCGTCAGGAGTTGATGCGGCAGCGACAGGCGTTGATGCGGCAGCGACGGGCGTTGACGCTGCAGCAACACGAGTTGATGCTGCAGCGACAGGAGGTGAAGCGGCAGCGCCGACATGCGTCGAACACTCGCCCTGCGTCCAGATGGTAGGTGCCTCGGGGCCAGAGGAAGGGAACGGAACGGCTAGAGCTGATGGCGGGACTAACGCGGGAGCAGCTGAAGCTCGTCGCAAAAAGTCTAAGCCAGTAAGGGCGGCTGGCTTCGTGCCTGCGACGGGCGGAGGGCCGTCACCTGCGGGCGTCGAAGCCGCCATGGCTGCTCAGTGCTGCTGAGCGTGCCGAGCAACGAGGGAGAAGCTACTCCTGCTTCAGCTCGAACATCACTTCCTGCAGGGGTTCACCAGGAGTGCAGGAAGAGAATGAGGGAGCAGATGGGGGTACCCCCTCTCCCGAGCCGCCATGACGAGGGATCTTGGTCCAGGTCAGGGTTTCCGTCTTTCCAGGCAAGGTGACAACACCCCCACTCAACTCTGCCATCCCTGGCGTGTTGGTGTGGACCCTGCCACCAGTGGTGTGTTGTCTGTGTTCTCATTGGGCAGTTGTGAACTTGGTCGACGGTTCTCTGGTGTGATGGCTTCCAGCGCGGCAAAAACGGTTCGGCGCGCACTAGCTGTAAATACAGCGCATGTGATAAGATTCCAAGTGTGTGGGTGGGGTGGGGTTTAGTGAATCACGCGAAGGAACAATCTGTACACGCGTCCCCCCCCCCCCCCCCCCCCCCCCCCCCCCACCCCCCCGCGCGGTCAAATCCGTTTCAGGGTGACGCACTGAAGTATACTGATTCGTCAATGTTACTCGTTCAGAAACACACAAAAACGTCAGTGTGGCAAAATCACATTTACTGAAATTTCAGCCCAAAATGGAAGCATTTACTGATTTTCCAGGTAAAACGGATTTCAGAGCTACAAAATCAGCGTAATCAGCGTGTTTTACGCTGATATCTGAGGCCCTGTTGTCAGCCCCACTAGAGTGTGTAAACAGCAGGTGGTACCAGTAGGTGCCGTGCAGTTGCTTTGCCCCTACCCCTTGGTCCAGGACACCTGCAGGTGTGAGAATGCGAGCTCAAACTCCCTCTCATCCACCCGGCTGCGACGGGCCGCCGGCGACACACTGCGACTCCTTGCCCTTGCTCCTGCTCCTGTCCCTGCCCTCCTAGCTGCTCCTCCCCCCCCTGCTGCCCCTGCACCTGCGCGCCCGCCTCCCCGTGCCCCTGCCCGCCCTGACATGCCTGCCCGCGCTGCTACACCTCCCGCGCGTCCCTGTCCCTGTGGCACCACAGAAGGGGAAGCGGTTGGCCCCCGTGCACTCGCCTCCGCGCCATTGCTCTTTGTCACAGGAACCTTTGTCTCTCCTTCTACACTTCCCTTGGCCTTGCCTTGCCCTGCCACGTTCTCTTCCCCACTTGATCTCTGTGCACCCCAATCTGTACGAGCCTCCCCCCCTCTCTTCTCTCTCCTCCCTGCCCTTGCGTTCTCCCACTGCCCTCTCCCTTCTCACCCTCCTCTACAGCTCCGCACTCCTCTATCTCCCAGCGTGGTCCTTTTCCCTCTCGCTTCCCTTCTCCCTCCTCCTCTCCCTCCCCCTCTTCCCCATCCTCACTCCCCTTCCGCCCCTCACACAAACGGCTCCTCCCTCCCCCAATCCTAGACCCCTCACTCTCCGTCCGCGGAAACCCCTCCCTTCCTTGCAGCCCCCATTTCTCCCTCCTGCCTCTCTCCCTGCGCCCCTCCCCACCACCGTCAACCGAGACAGACCTAGAACCCCCCAGGGCTCCTTCCATGCGCATGGCCCCAGTGCTATCTTTAGCATCAGCACCAGGGGAATCCCCCCACCTCCCAGATTTTCCTCCTAAGCTGGAGACGAGCCGAGGGCTTAGAATGGAGCGCAGGCTGAGACGACTGGTTGTGGGGCGGCGAGGGGAGGGAGTGGGCGGAGTGGGGGAGGGGGAGGGGGAGGGGGAGGGGGAGGGAGAGGGCTGCGCGTGGGGGGAGAGAGGGCTGAATCCGTGTGGGGAGTTGGTGTGAGGGGTGAACGGACGGGGTTCCCTGGGTGAGGGTGTGCCTGCAGGACTCAAGTCCCTGCTGCTGCTATTACTGCCGTTGCTGTTGGCGCTGCTAACATTACTGCTGCTACAGTTGCCACCGCCGCCGCTGCCGCCGCTGTCAGTGCTATTAGAGCGCGAGATGATTGCTAGCAGCCAGCGGCTGCGCTGGCTGAGGGACGGCGATGTGGGAAGGGCAGGGGGTGTTTGTAGCACTGTGGTGGGCGACGGCAGTGGAGGAGAGTTAGAGGCGACGGCCAGTGCGCAAGCCTGGCTGCTGGCTTCTTGGGCTGCTGCTGCCTGGCTCGCTGCTGCTGCTGGTCCTGTTATAGCTGCCGATGCCAATGCTGATGCTGATGCTGATGATAGTGGTAGTGCGGATGGTGCTGTGGATCCTGGCGCTAATGCTGATGATTCAGCAGGTGTCTGTTCTGCGCCAGCAGGTGCAACAGCTGAGCGCGCCTGGGTTGTGCCTTGGTCTCTCTCCCGCTCGCCACTCCCTCCTGTCTCGGCACTCTCTCTTGCATTCTCTGTGTGTTGCGAATCTGGCTCCCCTTTAATCCGCTCCTGCTCTTGCGCTGGTTGTTGCTGCAACTGCTCCATATGCCGCTGTTGCTGCGTCTGCTGTTGCTGCGTCTGCTGTTGCTGCGTCTGCTGTTGCTGCGTCTGCTGTTGCTGCGCCTGCTGCTGCTGCTGCTGCTGCTGCTGCTCCTGCTGTTGCTGCTGCTGCTGCTGCTGCTGCTGCATCTGCTGGACCCTAGCGCACCCCGGCCGTCCATACAGCAACAGCTGCCGCTGCTCCCGCTGCTCCCTCTGCCGTTCCCTTAGAGCGTGCAGCTGCTGCGCTCTCTCCCCTTCCAGCACCTCTTTCAACCGCGCTAAAGACGACATGGCCACCAGCAGCCGCTCCTGGCTCCGCTCCCTCCCCCTTCCGCCGCTCCCGGGGCTCGACTCCGCCAGTTGCTGCATCAGCGGGTGCGGGCTCGCCAGCAGCGGGGATAGATCCGCCCACGTGCATGCGCCCTTGCCGCCGCCGCTTCCGCCGCCGCTGCTTGCGGAGTTGTCCCTGGGAGACGGCGCGGATTGCTGGGATGGAGACTGGGCAGGATCTGTTTTCGAAGAGTTGGTTTGGAGGGAGGTTGCATTCGGACAGGCGAGAGCGGAAGGCGAGTGGGGAGCGGGAAGAGGCGGGGGCGGAGCGGAGGGAGTGGGCGCAAGGGACGAGGAGGGGGTGGAAGAGGCGGAGACGAGGGGCGGCAGCGACGGAGACGCTGCTGCGCCGCCGGTGGCGGAGGCGGAGGCGGCGCTTGTGGTGGCGGCGGCCGCCTTGCCGACCGCGGCGACGGCGACGGCGGTGGAAATGCAGGGGGAGGCGGAAGCGGTGGTATGGGGGGAAGCGGATTGGGGAGTGTCGCGCTGGCCGGGATGGGCGGCGGAGTCGGGTGTATCCGGGGGAAAGCGCGGCGAGGGGATGGCTAAATGCCCTAGTCTGTTAACAAACACTCGATTAATCGCCAGCGCCGTGCCGCCGGCCATATCGGTGCACGTAGCGTCGCTGCTACACCCATTTCCAATGCTTGCGCCATCAGCACCATTAGCACCGGCACCATTGGTAGAACCAGCTAGCGCACCGCCGTTGACTCGGTCAACGCGAACTACGTCATGATCGTCAACGCTATCGTCGCTATCCTCGGGCTGAGTCGTTTTGCTTGCCAGGCTGTCATGGCTATCTCGTCGTCCACTGAGGTTTTCCGTTATTCCCTGAGCCGACCGGCACGCTTCTTCCTCCCCACGCCTCTTTCCCACGCCCCCAATTCGGTCGTGCGCGCGCAATAGCCTCGACCCGCCCGCGCAACCCGCCCACTCCCCCTCGTCCGCGCTTCCCCCATCCGCACGAGTTGCTACATTCCCCCCTTGCTCTCGCTGGGCGGGGCTTCGACCACTGGCTGACGTGGCACTCGGGGACGACGGAATGCTGAGGTGTTCCAGCCGGCCGGAAAAGACACGTGGCAGGGAGAGCGGGCGACCGTTGGTGCGACTCTGGAGAACCGCGGGGGGTATTAAGCCGTTAGGTTCGGGCTTACAACACTGATCGCGCTGCTGCGACTGAAAACTGCTGCTGCTGCTGCTGCTGCTGCTCGTGTCGCGGCTCGTTCGGCTCTACTATTAAGTTCTGCATAGTAGGGGCATGGGAGAAACTACTGAGTCGACGTAAAACTCGTGTGAGAGCGAGTCACTGTAGGGAGTTCGCAGGAGCGCGCTACGGAAGGCTAGTATGAGCCTAGAGACGCGTCTAAACTGCGTGGCAGCATGGGAGTGTGCGCCTCGCCAGGTTTCGATCTCGAGCAGCGAGAGGAACGGGTAATGCTTTGCGATCAATGGAGCAATGTTAGACAAGAGTGACTGTGCTAGTCCTTCCTAAGTTGCACGTTACACTGCTAGGTTGGCCAGAAGAGACCCTGATTTAGCGCAGCTATACTGTACTATATCGCTTTCTGACAAGGTTTGTGACGGATTTCGCTAGCTGGTGCTCGAATGCCAGTCTGGTTGTGGCGGAAGCTGTTCGTGCGGGTGAGTCGGACAAACGTCAGGCGACGAGAAGGGGAGAGGTGTGAGCGCGAGTGCAGCTCACCTTCACCGCGCGCGTTGGTACAAATCACAGCTGGACGGACGGAACGGACAGAACTGATGGGGAGCAGCAGTGGCTGCGTGCAGGATGATTGCGTGCTCTGCACAAGCAAGGGAGCGACTGCCCCGAGGAGTGATGGGGAAAGGGACGAGTAGAGAGGACGAGAGGGACAGAGGGAAAGGGGCGGGGGGAGGGGGATTCCAGCGCGGTCATTTTGGGGCATAGGGCCATGGTTCTGAACTCCCAGACTGTTGGAGTGTTTGGTTGTGGTGGTGAGCGGGTGAGTGGTAGGTGGGTAAGGGAAGGGGCGAGCGAGGGGGAGAAAGAAAGTCGTGGTTGTGGGGCTGACTCGCGAGGCGAGGAGTTGGGGTGCAAGTGCAAGTGCAGCGCAGCGCAGCCCAGACGTCGGGGGATTAATTGCGCGTCTGTTCCGCTCGTGGGAGCCAACTCCACTCCACTGCCCATGTATCGCGTCGCGTGTAAAATTTCGAGTCGCAGAGGGGCAAAGGAACGGCTGTGATTTTGCAGAATGCTGGTTGTGTGATTAGCGACAATCACTGATATTTTCCGGAAGCTTTCGCCACAAATGATTTTCCATAATTATCAACAGTCAAATGTAACGTGCGCCCTCCATAATTCAATTCCCACAAGAGCTGGCTATTGGCTGCACTCAACTGCTCAATATGACGCTTTTCAACCGCCATACCATACCTGTTCTGCAACCTGCTAATCTAATGTGTATACACTTCTGATTATCACTTATACATAAGATGGCACTCCAGACGTACTAACAACTGACTTGGGAGGCAACAATTTCACGATAGGAAAATTAACTTGATAGAAAGTCTAGGGTTTAGGAACTTGTTAGTCACAAGGTTGGTTGGTTGTTGGTTGGTTGGTTGGTCTAAAGCCTGATTTCGTATGCAATGAAAGCACCATACCTAAAACCGTCTTCTAGTAACAGTATATTTCTGTGGTACTGATAACAATAATCCATATAATATTTTAACCAATTGGTCACTTAAAAGTGATATCTGCAACCTATATTACAGGATATTGATGCTGCATGTATATATTCATATAAATATATAAATATCTAGTGTCATTATATTTTCAGTGCGTTTATTTCTTACTGTGTTTTGAAAGCCAATCTTGGAAGAATAACTCTTTAATAGCTAGTTCGTTATGTTTGTACGACAGTCTAAAATATTCGTGGCGCACAAGACAGCAGGGATTGTCGAACATAACAGCAGACCCACTTGGGCATTTCAGCGGACGGACAGACACTCCCCTCCATCGCTGCACCGGTCCCCGTTTTGTCGGTGCAGGAACCACTGTTGGCTGGTGTAGCGTTCGTCATCACATCCGACAAAGTAACAAGCGGACGCGAAGGAGCTCGTTACTGCGACGAGCGGCAGCCCGAGGCTCGGTGGGAGGCTAGGGCGTTACATGCCTCGTGTCAAACCTTTCCGCAGCCCCGCAGGGGGGCGGTTTGCTTGGGCCTTGCTTACCCGAAGGAGGTATGGCATGGCATCCACTTCATTGCTCAAGCAAGTGCGGGTGTAGCACGCGCGGGTGCACATCGAACTGAACCAGCATCCATACCTGAACAATGCGCAACCTCTACCTGGAGAAATGCTGGCGTGGCGAAGTCCCCCGCTGCCCGCTCCGGGTTCCGCGCTTTGAGTTCACATATGTGGTTCGGGGAGCAGAAGACGCACCCAACAGGTTCGGCGGGGGGGAGGGGAAAGGGAAGGTCCCACTTTGTCACAGCCTCGTGTTCGTCTGGTCGTGATGGCTTCCCCGACCCATCTGCGTCGTCTGTTTCCCTGGCGCTGGGGAGTGGAGGAACAGGGACGCTTAGGACGCGTCACAAGTAAAATATCGAGGAAGGATCAGGGTTGTTCACCGAACCTGTCAAACCGATCGCCATATCGGTGTGTCACGACTGCTTTGAAGTTTCAAGTCTCACGATCGTAAAAACATGGGGCAAAATTGCCCGATGTGGACGAAATTGCACGATCGATGTGTGACAGGGGCACATCGATCGCCTGACTTAGAAGGGAAAACTGTACGTTAGCGAAAATAAACGAAAATGTGTAACCACCTAAACACCGATTCTAGGCAGGATCGATATTCTACTTGTGACGCGTCCTAAATGGATTAGGGTGGCAAGACAGAAGTGTGAGAAAACAAGACGAGGTGCGTGAAAGGTGACACTAAGGAGACGTTACCAGTCCGTCCACAGGGATTAACTATCTTAATATAAGCGGATGCAACGGCCGCGCCTTTTTTCAAACAAGGCGTTTTCGTGTGGTTAAAGAATGGCGCTACAATTGCAGTCTGGAGTCAAGAAGAATACGAGGAGCATTTTAGGGTTTGACTGTAGCTCCTCCCCGTAATGTGCGGCTCCTAAGTATCCTCCCTCTTTCGTTCCTCATATTCCCTCCTTAATTTCTTTCTTTTTCAATTCCGCCCCCTTGTCCCGTCCGTTCCTTCCTCCCCCTCCGCCTGTTGCGGCACTGGCCCTCGTCTCTAACACTTAATGCCTCCCTCTTCGCGTCTCCTCCTCCATCGGCCCCAGACTGTCTCTCGTTTCTTCCCTCGCGACCTCTCTCGTCCATTCCGCTCAACCCCATTCCCTCCACTCCATGCGCTCCCCTATCCGCCGTCGCACCCCAGGGACGTGGCACGGAGGAAGTCGTTGCAGCAACCCGCTATGGGGAAGGACCCTCAGCTTCCGCATGCGCACTCCGGTTCGGCCCACACCGAACTCCCGTCCCTGCCGCCTCCCGCGCACGCGTGGGGCCGAACCAAGTCGTTCCAGCAGCAGGACTCGGGGGGTGCGGGGAGCTCGGGCAGCGGCGGGGGATTTCGATCATGGTACAACACAAAGGGCGGGCTGCCCTTGCAGGTAGGCTCGCATGACGACGACGCGGACAAGGCAGCTGGCGGCCGCGTGGGGAGTGGCAGTGAGAAGAAAGGAGAGTTCAATCAGCAGGGGCAGCAGGGGCAGCCAGGTGAGCCCTTGAAAACGCATCTACCGGCGTCTATGCAGCCCCACCCGCCGTCGTTACAGCCCCCGCCTCAGTCGCGCCCGCAGAGCCTGTTCCGCAAGCCGCCTCCGCTGATGGTACCTGCGGGGGGGGACACGAAGCTGGCGGGGAGCAGCAGCACGGGGGGGGGCGCGGGGGATGCGCGGGGTAGCGGAGCGGCGCAGGCGGCGGCGGGGGGCGAGTCGCGGATGAAAGGGGTGGCGTCGGTATTTAAGAAAGGCATGTGGAAGTTCGGGGGGTTGCGGAAAGAAAAGGATAGCGCCGCCTCTAGCGGTGCCGCCACCTCCGCCACCAGCAACAGCAGCAGTAAGGGGGGAGCGGAAGCGCAGGCGGCAAGCCCGAGGCACTTTTACTCGGGTCCCTTCCCCTTCCCCGCGGACAGGCGCAAGACGACAGAGGCGCGGCGGTCGCAGCTGCGGCAGGGGCTGACGCCGCTGCAGGGCGTCGGCTCTCCGCCGTCGTCGTCGCTCGCGGTGTCCGTTACGTCGGATACGCACAGCACGGACAGCGACGGGGTTACCAGCGGGTTCAATTCGCACGCTGCGGCGTCGCACGAGGTGCTGTCGCCGCTGCCTCCGCATGTAAAGTCGCCGTTGGTCGGAGACAAGCCGAAAAAGAAGGGGCTTCTAGACTGGGACTTGCTATCTCCTAACGCGGGGGGCCTGCTCGGGAGTAAGCGCAGCGCGAAGCCGTCGGCGCAGCAGCAGCAGGAAGCGGCGGCGACTGCGGCGGCGGCGCTATTGAGCGGCAGTCGCAGCGGACGGCACGCAGACTCGCTGGCGGCGCAAGGGCGGGGTGTTAGCAGCGGTGCTATTAGCGGGCCGATACTACCGGGGATGATGCCGGGGCGGCTGGGCAGTAAGGGCGCCAGTAACCCTCCTGCTGATGACAAGTCTCTCGATATAAGCTTCCTGCGATTGCGGCAAGTCGAGTCGCGCCTCTCCGCGCACTTCCCTACCACTCCGCCGTCCGCGTCGGCGGCGGAAAAGCACCCCCTACCCTCCCCCACTCCCCCGCACGCGGGGCGCGGAGACACCCCGCAGCGTCCGCAGACGCCGGAAGATCCGGGCGGACCGGATTCGGCGCGCAATCGAATCCGAGTGAAGGGGTCCAGCATGAAAGCGGAGAACGAGTCGCCCTCGTTTCAGTCACGCGCAGCGGGCGCCGCCTCTGGTGATTTCCCCGACGCGCCCGGGGGCAGCATGCGCGGGGGCGGAAGCGGAGGCGCGGGGGATTCCGCGGGGAAGTCAGGTCGTGGAGGCGCGGGCGGTTTTGCGGGGGGAGCGGGAGAGACTATGATAGAGGTGGAGGTGGAGGAGATAGGCGAGGGCGGGGAGATTAAGACTAAGACCATCCCGGCGCGGCTTCTAGAAGCCACGGTGGTGCATCAGGGCCCTTCGGGGAGGACAGTATCGGGTCGCATTATGTTGGAGACGGGCGAGGTGATGGTGGTTCAGGTAGAGGAGGACGACGGACCGCTCTCGCTCGCGCTGCAGGCGGCGCTGCCGCACGCCGCCAAAGGGGAACGGGAGCGCGCGCGGGATAGGGATAGAGACCGGGACAAGGAGAGGGATAGAGATAGGGACAGGGACAGGGACAGGGACAGGGATAGGGATAGGGACAGGGATAGGGATAGGGACAGGGATCGGAGGGAGAAGGGGAGTTTCCGCGGCGGGGATGGCGCGGATAGGCCGCGGTCGAAGAGCGGGCGCGCGGGGGAGGCGGGCGCAGAAGGGGAGATGCGCTCGCGTTCGCGATCGAGTCGGGGGGACGATTCCCGCCCCAGGTCGCGCTCTGGCCGGGGGGAGGGCGCGGAAGGGGAAGCGGGGGAGGTGCGCCCGCGGTCGAGGCATAGCAGAGGGTCGGAGGGGCGGCGATCGCGGAGCATCCGCGTGGATAACGCGGAGGATTGGGAGAACGGACGGCCGAGATCGAGAAGCGGGCGGGGGGATGAGTGGGGCGGGGAGGGGGAGGGGAAAGCTAGGAGCAAAAGCAAGGGGGTGGCGGAGGGCGGGGAGGGCGCTTTGGAAGGAATAGGGGAAGGCTCAGGGGGGGGGGAAGGGGCAGCGGCGGGGACCCCCACGCTACGCCAGCGGCGCTTGGGCCGCACGCGGTCGCGCGCACTGGAGGAAGCGGTGAAGATGGCGATGGGCGGGGACGCTGAAGCGGAGAGCGCCACTCCGGGCGCTCTTGCTTCCGCCGATCCCCCGCTCTCCCCGCTGGACGCGGCGCAGCCGCGCGCAGACGACGCGGCGCTCACGCCAGGGTCGCGCGGAGGGGCTCCCGCCAATGTCACTCCGCGTAGCAGAGCCAGAGGCGCGCGCGCTGGGGGAAAAGAGGCGGGGGAGGGCGGGGCGGGCGCGCTGGAGTCCCCTGTGGGCGCTGCAGCGAGCCCCGCGGGGGGAGAGAAGCAGCGGCGCCCGCGGGAGCGCAGGCGGACGCGGTCGCGGTCAGGCATGGAGGAGATTCTGCAGGCGGTCGAGGGCGCAGCGGAGGGCGCGGGGGGCGCGGGGGGCGCGCGCACCCCTGTGAGTCCCTATCGGGGGAAGTCGTTTGGGCGGGGCGAGGACGCGGAGAGGAGGGAGAGGCGGCGGGAGAGGGGCAAGGAGGGGGCATCCCCGCGGGAGAAGGGCGGAGCAGGGGCTGCGGGGGGTGATGGCGCAGCAGCGCAGATCAGACACGCAACGCCACCCCCCTCGCGGCCGCCAGGGGAGAGGAGCTACAGTAGAAGCCGGTCGAGGCGAGTGGCGGAGGAAGGGGGAAGAGGGGCGGGGGAGGAAGGGGGCGGGGCGGGGAGAGGCAAACCAGCCAGGTCGCCGATTGGGGGGAGGGGGAACAGGCGGAGGCGGAGCGTTTCAAGGGTGGGGGAGGAGTTTGGCGCAATTACTCCGCCTACAGGCACGCCCACTGCGCTCACCCCCACTGGTGTTTCCCCCATGGCCGTTTCCCCCGGATTTGTTCCCCCAGCCTTGTCCACTGGGGGGGGCGCGGGGAGCAAAGGGGGAGACGGGGCGGAAGGCGCGGTTACGGATATGTTTGAAGGGTTTCAGGTGGGTGCTGTGGTTGACAGAGTGGCGGAGCGGTTGCAGAAGCAGGGGGAGAAGCGGAGGGAGAGGGCAGGGGGAAGGGGCGGGAAGGAGGATCGGGGGACGCGGAAAGTGCGGAAGGATGAATGGGAGAGGATTAAAGAGCGGGAGAGGGGCGCGGAGAAGGGCGGACGGGCGGTTGAAAACGGGGAGAGGGCGGAGAGGGGGAGGAAGAGGGATGAGGATGTGAGGGCGAAGGGAGTGGAGGCGGGAGGAGAGAAGGAAGGGGAGAAGGCAAATGAAGGGGAAAGAGAGGAGAGGAGGGAGAAGGATGATGGCAAGCAACAGGAAGCAGAGGGAGCTGAGACCGTGGGGGCCATTGGGGGTAGTACGGAGGGAGGTATGGAGGGAGGTACGGAGGGGGTTGATTCATTGGGAGCTCATTTGACGGAACAAGAGAAGGAGGGAGATGGAAAGGATGGTAGTGCAGTGGTGAGGGAAGGCACAGAGGCAGCAGCGGCGGCGGAGAGCAGAGAGGAAATGGAGGCGGGGGAGAAGGCGCTCCAGCAGCAGGAGGTGGCAGTCGCAGCTGCCGAGGGCGCCACAGCAGCAGCCGCCCCTGCTACAGCCCTCCCTGCAGGCCCACTGCCAACGGTGCCTGTGGCGGGAGCGGGGGGAGCGGGGGGAGCGGGCATGGACGAGGAGGAGCGCAAGGTGCTGCAACTCAAGGGGCTGGCGCGCCCCTCCGCGCTTGCTGTCGCCATGTTCTCCCCCACCTCCGCGCGCCTCATCTCCCCCTCCGCCACCACCTCTCAAACCACCTCCCCCCATGCCGCCTCCCCCGGGTCCGCCCGCCTCGTCTCCCCCACCTCCGCCAGCATCCTCTCCCCCACAGGTGCCGCCTCAGGTGCCGCCTCAGGTGCTCCTTCAGGTGCTCCGTCAGGTGCCGTTTCCCCTGCTGTTGTGTCGCCTGCCAGCCAGCCGTCGCCAGGGTCGGTGCGAGCGGGTCTCTTCTCATCGGCAGCGGGTGCTGCAGCAGCCGTGGGAGGGGGCGTGCTGAGAGCACTCACTCACAGCAAGTGGCGTGGTGGCGCCGCTGCTGCCAGTCCCGTCAGCAGCAGCAGCAGCAGCAGCAACGCGCCTGCAGCAGCAGCAGCAGTGGTGTCTCCTACCGGTGACACTGACGCGGCTCTGATGCAACAGGCGGCGGAAGCAGCTGCTGCGTTTGCGGCTGCGGGGAGCAGCGGGCAGGGGAGCGGAGGCGGAGAGGGGGGCGCGGGCGCGGGGGCGGAAGAGATGCAGGCGCGGACGGCCGTGGGGAAGGCGATAGTGCAGAGCCGGCTGGCGCAGGCGCGGCGCTGTGTGACAGTGGGGGAGCTGGACGTTAGCAACAAGCTTGCTGCGCGGAAGAAGGGGCAGTGGGGGCGGACGGGGCCGGGGAGCGGCAAGGAGAGAGAAGGAGACGTGCTGAGCCCGTGGGACCGGCTCAAGGAGACGCGGAAACTGATGCCTCTGGCGAGTTTCAGAGGGCGGGATGGGGAGGGCGAGGAGGAGGGCGGGCATGTGGGACTCATGGCAAAGCTCATGGGGCGCAGGGAGAGGGGCGCGCATCATGGGGGAGGTGCCGAGGGGGGAGGCGGGGGGAAGGAAGGAGGGGAGGGGAAGGGCGGGGCCGGGGGCGGGGGCGGGGATGGTGGCGGAGAGGGGGGCGAGGGCAGGGGCGTGAGGCGGATGGGGTCTTTGGAGACAGGGATGAGGGTGAGGTTAGTGGAGCAGGGCAGGGCAGTGTCGGATGGAGCCATGCTCGCTGCTGCTGCCCAGGCTGCCACTGCTGCTGCCGCCGCCGCCGCCGCTGATGCCGCGACTCCTGCTGCTGAAGCTGATCTTGCGCGTGGGAAAGGGAGTGGGGATGGGCGTGGGAGCAGGGAGGGGGATGCAGGTGCGGGTGGTGAGAGTGGTGTGGGTGCAGCAATGGAGGTCGATGCAGGTGCTGCTGTTGCTGCTGCTGCAGCTGTGGAAGGGAAGGACGAGAGTGGTGGCGATATGGTTGTTGGCGAGGGTGGGAAGCTGGTGATGGAAGGTGGGGGGGATGGAGGGGAGGCGAGGGCTATGGAGGGTGTGAGAGGAGGTGGTGGTGAGGTAAGTGTGGGGGATGTGGAGATGGGGAAGAGGGAGGAGGAGGAGGGAGAGAGAAGGGAGAGAGTTGGTGGGGAAGGAAGGGAAGAAGGAGACAGGATGGAAAGCGAGAGGCTGAAAGGGAGACAGGAGGAGGAGAGGAGGGAGGGGGAGAGGAGGGAGGAGGAGAGGAGGGAGGAGGAGAGGAGGAAGGAGGAGAGGAGGGAGGAGGAGAGGAGGGAGGAGGAGAGAAGGGAGGAGGAGAGAAGGGAGCGACTTAAGGTGGAGGAGGAAAGGAAAGAGGAGGAGAGTAGAATGGCAGCAAGGTTTGAAGAGGAGAGACGAGAGAGGGAGAGGGTTGCTCTGGAGAAAGAGGAGGAGGAACGAAGGGAGCGAGAGAGGGCTGATGAAGAGAGAAGGGTTCATGAGGAGCAGCGAATAATGAAGGAGCGAGAAGAGGAGGAGAGAAGGGAAAAGGAGAGGGAGGAGGAGAGAAGGGAGAAGGAGAGGGAGGAGGAGGAGAGAAGGGAAAAGGAGAGGGAGGAGGAGGAGAGACGGGAAAAGGAGAGGGAGGAGGAGGAGAGAGAGAGAAAGAGAGGAAGGAGGAGGAGAGAAGAGAAAGGGAGAGAGAGGAGGAGGAGATAAGACAGAAGGAGAAAGCAGAAAACGAGAGGAAGGAAAGGGAGAGAGAGGAGCAAGAGAGGAGGGAAAAGGAAGAAGAGGAGGAGAGGATGAGATTGGAGACAGAGGAAGGGGAGAGATGGGAACGAGAGCAAGAGGAAGAGGAGAGGCGAGAGATGGAGAGGCAGGAGGGAGGCAGAAGAGGGGGTGACAAGGGGCAAGAGCAGGAGGCGAGGGGAGGGGGGTTGCGGGAGAAAGACAGGGGGGGCAAGAGCGAGCAGGAGCAGCTGCTGCTGCAGTTTTTGGATGAAGAGTGCCGGAGAGAAGAAGGGTGGCGCGGTGGTGACCAGGGGCGAGGGAGAGCGCAACGGGGGGGTGATGCTGGGAGTGGTGGTGAGAGTGATGGGGAGGAGAGCGGGGTGGTGCATGAGAGGGAGGATGAGGAAGGGGACTTGTATGGTGCGGAGTGGGAAGCAGAGGGGAGGGTGGAGGGCAGCGGAAGGAGAGGGAAGGCGGCAGAAGAGGATGAGGAGACGGAGGATGAGGAAGAAAGAGAGACTGGCGAAGCAGGAAAGGATGCAGCAGGTGTGGTGGTGGAGGAGGGAGAGGAGGGTGTGTTTGGGGAAGTGAGCGATGGGGAGATGGAGGTTGAGAGTGGTAGAGGGGAGGGTGGGGTGGTGGGGATGGGGAGAGGCAAGGGGGTTACTGCAAGGGGGGGTGAGTGGGAAGGAGCGGAATGGGAGGAGGAGGAGGAGGAGAAAAGAGCTGGTGAGACTGAGGGTGGTTATAGAGAGAGGGAAGGAGAGGAGAGAGAGGAGGGAGTGGAGGGAGAATGGGAAGAGGGAGAGGGAATGGTGGTGGAGGAGAAGGGAGATGAGGAGGGTGGGGGAGAGAAACGGGAAAAGGGCGGGCAGGGAGAAAGGGAGATCGAAAGGGATGATGGAGGAGAGGGGGATGGCGTGGAGGAGGAAGGAGTGGAGAAAGCAGGGGAGGAGGGGGATGCGGAGGAAGCTGGGGAGGCGGCAGGGGAAGGGGCAGAGGAGGGGGCACGAGGGGAAGGGGCAGAGGAGGGGGCACGGGAGGGAGCAGGGGAAGGGGCAGGAGAGGCGGCAGGAGAGGCGGCAGGAATGGAGATGGAACCAGAGGTGCTGTTGATGCGGCAGGAGGGCATTCGCGGACCCGTGAGAAGGAGCACAGGCAGGCTCGCGAGTGATGGGGAGGTGGACGGGGTGGAGGATGATGAAGAGGGGGATTTTCTAGATGATGAGTATGATGATGAGGGGGAGTATGAGGGGGAGGAGGAGGTTTACAGTGATGAGTATACGGATGAGGAAGGGGAGTATGAGGAGGAATATGATGAGGAGTATGAGGGGGAGTATGATGAAGAGTATGACGAGGAATACGACGAGGAGGGAGAGTATGAGTATGATGACGAGGGGGAGTATGAGGAGGGGGAATACGAGGAGGGAGAGTATGAAGATGAGGAGGACTATGATGAGGAAGAGGTGGGGGAGGGGGAGGAGTTAGAGGGGGGTGTGGGTGTAGGCCGGGGCAGGGGTGCAGCAGCAGCGGGAGCAGCAGCAGCAGGTGGGGTGGTGGGTAGAAGGCGGGTGGGTGGGCCGGTGGGAGGAGCGGGTGGGAGAGGCAGGGGAGTGGGCAGGGGCAGGCCGCCCAGACCCCCGGGAGGGGTGCAGAGACCTGTGGGGGCGCGCGGGGGGCAGGTGGGGGAGCATGGGGAGGAGGAGGAAGGGGAGTTTGAGGATGAGTATGAGGATGAGGAGGGGTTGCATGAGATGGAAGAGGAAGGGGAGTGGACAGAGGACGATGCTGATTTGGATGATGAGGAGTTGGGTGCGGAGGAGGAGGAAGAGGACTTTTTGGAAGAGGAGGGGGACGAGGTGGGACCGATGGTGCCAAGGAGGAGAATGACAGGGCGGAGAGGCAGGTACAGGGATCATGTGGATGACGAGGAGGAGTACGATGATGAGTATGATGACGGGGACTTGGATTTCATCGATGATTATGATGAGGAGGACGATGGGTTGGGGGAGGGAGGCGGAGAGGAGGAAGAGGAGGAGCGGCCGCCAGAGCTGATGTACGTTCGCTCGCTGTCCACGCTTCGCCGGCCGGAAATCGCGCAGATGCAGGGCGGCGGCGTGACGCCCGCTGCCCGGCAGGTGTACTACGAGTTTGGGCCGATCGGGGCGGCGAGGGTGCGCGCGCAGCAGTGCCGCGACCACTGGTCGTGGCTCTTCATGCAGTATCTAGAAACCATGCTGCCTCGCCTGGCAGTGCAAGACGACGACGATATCATGAGTCTCACCAGCACGGGGGATCATCTAGACGATGACGATAATCTCGCCTTCCCCAGCGCGGCTAGTAGCACTGCGTTTGGGAGCAGCAGAGGTGCGACGACGGCGGTGGCCGGAGGAGCAGGCGGGGGTGCGTGGCCGGAGGGAGGCCCGGGAGTGAGAGTGCTGCGGCCGGTGGGGCGGACCAACCGGAACTGGTCGGTGGCGGGCGCGCTGAGGGAGTTTGAATGGGTGAAGCGCAAGTTCCGGGGGGTGGCGGAGAGTAGCGAGCGGTTGAACGAGGTGCACGTGGGTGAGGCGTTTGTGGCGGGGCTGTCGGTGTGGCTCAAGTACTGGGAGCAGTGGGGGGAGAACCGACCCAAGTGGCAGGGCGAGGAGGACGACGACAATGAAGACGACCCAGCAGTACCCGGTGGGGGGGGAGGAGGTGGGGGTGCTGGTGCTGGTGGTGCCGGTGGTGGTGCTGGTGGTGCCGGTGGCAGTCTAGGGGGCATGTCTCCTGTGAGGTTCAATGACTCTGCTACTAGTTCCCCCTGGAGGGACCTGCCTAACAGCTCCAACAGCTCGCCCTGGCGCGGGGACAGGGACGACGGGGGGGACGGCAGGGGCAGATACGCGCACAGTGACCTGGGGGGCGGAGGGGGAGGTTATGCGGGGAGCGCGGGAGGCGGGGGGTACGGCAGTGGGAGGCGACCAAGTAGCGTGGCAGCGGGGTTGTCGGGAGCAGGAGGGGACGTGCATACGTACGGGCCCAAGCGCTGGGGCCCGGAGGGTAGCCTGCAGTCTCGCCTTGTTGCGGAGGCGCTGGGAACAGGACAAGCGCTGCCCACCACGTGCCAGCACGATGATATTCTCCGGGTGGCGGGGCTGGCAGCAGCAATCAGCAGCTGGCAGCCGTCCACTGCGTGCATGTGCCTGCTGCGCCTACTGGACCGCATGGCCCAGTTTGAACTGCTCTCCCTCGGGATTACCATCTCGCCGCACCGCGACGCCGCTGCTGTTGCCGCCGCCACGGCAGCGGCTTCGGGGAGTCACGGGTCGGTGAGAGGAGGAGGGGGAGCGCTGGGGCCGTCAGCACGGCACCACCTGGCGGGGATTGGCAATGAGGGGAGCATGCCGTCGTCGCCTGCTGGGTCGCGGCGGCGCTCGGAGAGTTTTACGATGGGCGGTGGGGGACTGGCGGAGCAGACCGGGCCTATTCCGACATCGTTCAGCGGGCTGGGGTCTGCTTTTGGCGCGGCGGTGGCAGCGGCGCCGGCGCAGCAGCAGGCGGCAGCAGCACAGGAGGCTTCGGCAGCGGCAGCAGCGGCACCACCGCCGCCGCCACAGAAGAAGTCAGGAGGCGGGTTGCTTGCTTTCACAGCGAATTTCACCCGCCCGACCACTCCCTTCTTTGGCATCGGGTCCTCCTCTGCTGCCTCCCACCCCGCCCCCCCGCCCCCTGAACCCACTCCGCCGTCCGCCCCGCCGTCCAATGTGAGCTCGCCACCTGTCTCGGACCTGTCAGGAGGCCCGACGGTCGCCGTGGGGCCTATGGGAATGGCAGGGATGGGGTTGGTGCGGGCGCCTGCAAACCTCCCTGCGTGCCGAGCGTTCGTGATGGCATGCCTCAAGGCCATTCTCTCGTCCCAGTACGAGAAATCAGGAGGTGCAGCGGCGGCCAGCAGGAGAGCCATGTCGGCAGCAGCAGCGGCAGCAGCGTCCGCGGGGGGGGGAGGAGCGTTGTCGGGCGCGGACGGAGCGCTGCTGTCCGTGCGGTCAGCAGGGCGCAAGCCCTGGTGCCCCATCCGCCTCTCCAGCCTGGCGGAGGTGGCGCTAGCGGAGGGCATCGCGCGCGCGAAGCACAGCGACCTAGTAGAGCGGTGCGAGGAGATCGACCGGCTGTATGACTCCCTGGGGCTGGGACCGGGCCTGCTAGCCATGAACCTAGCGGCTGAGATGCGGGAGCTGCATTTCCTGCACCCGGGGGATCTGATCTCGCTGGCTCTGCACTACGAGCATATCGGGCTGGAGGAGGCTGCTTTCCACGTGTGCCTACGGGCCGTGGCGTCTGGGAGGCTCACCACGGACGGGTTTGACCATGTGATCCGCATGGTGTTTCTGGGCAGCGGGGCCGAGTCGATCAACGCGCGCTTCGCACGGCTGGCAACGGCGGTCAAGAATGCGCACATCGCCAACGTGGAGGCCACGGGCGCGGCGGCGGGCGCGCGCGCTTCCTCCTACATCGCAGAGTTCGCGGACGCGATGCTGAGAAACGGCGAGCTGAAGCAGCACCACCCGTGGGCGTACGAGGTCACGCTCAATTTCCTCCGCATGAACACGCGTGGCGGCGGCCTGGGCGCCGGTGCAGGCCTCGGGGGGCTAGCGGCCGGTGCGGGAGACTGGCGGGAGCGGGAGCTCTGCGCACTAGTGACACTCAACCGCTGGCTGGGGCTGACAGCGGCAGGGGGGGTAGCGGGAGGGCTGGCGGGGGGAGAGAAGTCGCTGGAAGCGGCGCAGGACAGAGCGGTAGAGATAGTGGAGCAGATGGCTCAGCCCGAGGTGACGGTGGGGTGGGCGGTGTGGTTGAGGATCGGCAAGACGGTGGAGACGGAGCATAACCTGCCCGTGCTGCTGGAGTCCATGCAAGTCAAGTCCATCATGCACGTCTATGAGGTGCGGCGACTGGGATAGGTGGTGTGCGGTGGGGTGCGGTCGGATGGGAATGGGGTGAGGTGGGGTGGCGTGGGGTGGGATGGACTGTGCAAGCATGTATCCTGAGTATAAATTTGCAGCACGCCTCTCACTGATACCGTCTTCCTGCTTTTCTCCCTCTCTCTCCCTCCTCCCTCCCCTCCTCCCCTCCTTCCCCCCGTCCCCTCCTCCCATCCTCCCTTCCCCACCACTCCCCCTCCCCACCCCACACACAGAGCATAGAGGAGGACGGCACGTGCCAGGACGCACAGCAGCTGGAGGTGTTCGACTGGGGGCTGCAAGGCATCCTGGTGGGCTGAGTGTCATCCTTTTCCTCTGTCTCCCTCTCCCTCCCTCCACCCTCCCTTCTCCCCTCCTCCCATTCTCTTGTCCTCCCTTCTCGCGTCCTCCCATCCTCCCTCCGCCACCCTCCCCCCGTCGGCCCCCCACCTATGCCAAGCAGAGCATAGAGGAGGACGGCACGTGCCAGGACGCGCAGCAGCTGGAAGTATTCGACTGGGGGTTGCGCGGCATCCTGGTGGGGCTACCAGACAAGGACCCCGCAGCCGCGCTGCTGGAAGTGATCTACCCGCTGGAGGAGGAGAAGGCGGATCTGACTCTCGCCATGGCTGCGCGCCTGGCTGCCACGTCGTCGCCGGTGGATAGCCGCATGTGGCCGCTGGCCAATACCACGTCGTTTGTTGCCCAGCTACTCGTGCTCACTGATGGATGTGCGTGGGGGAGGGGAGAGGTGGGGAGGGAGGTGGGAAGGGAGGGACGGACGGAGGGACGGAGGAAGGGGGGGGCGGAGGGAAGAGCAGTGGGGTTGAGCTCAGTGTGACTGGTGTGTTGCGTGTTTGGTTCCTACTGTCTGACTGTGCATGGTGTTGTGTGGACTGTTCTCCTATACTAACCTCGTCCTACGCCCCTCCTCTCGCCCCCATCCCTCCCTGCACACTCCACCAATCACGCCACACGCGTGGTGCTGTGCTGGCAGGGGTGTTGGACCAGAGGCAGATGTCGCGGGCGGTGAACGTGGCGACCAGGCTGTGGGGGTGGGCCATGCCCAAGCGCTCCCAGCTCATGGAGCAATGCGAGGTGCGTGCCCTGGGGATGAGGAGGTCTTGGGGATAAGGGGGGATGGGGATGACGGGGCTTGGTTATGAGGGGGCTTGGGGATGGAGGGCCGTCAGCATGAGCATGTGGAATGGGGGCGTGGGGATGGGGCCCCTCAACTTGTCTGTACTGCGTAAATTTGGTGCCATTTCTGTCCTGGCTGTCTCCTCCCACGCGCCTCTTGCTGCAAAACCCCAATTGTCCATGCCTCATTCCCGGAACCCCAACCTGGCATGATGTCATGGTCTTGGTATTGGTGCAGACTGCGGACGAGGCAAGGGAGGTGATGGAGCGCAGTGCAGCTTCCATCTGGCGCTCCGTTGCTGCCTCAGGTGCCACGCCCTTCCTCCACACCCACTCCCACGCCCACTGCCACGCCAATGCCCACGCCCACGCCAATGCCCACGCCCATGCCCAGTGCCCACACCCATGCCCAGTGCCCATGCTCGCACCCGTGCCCCATGGCTGTGCCCGTGCCCACGCCCTCCCTTGTGTCCCTCTCCCTCCGCCGTTCCGTCACTCTCGTTCCAGGCACTCCCTGCCCTGCCTTGGCACCTCCACGGCATTCACACGCACGCATGCACTCTCACTCTTGCATCCATGTGCCTACACTCGCCTCTAACCTCCCTAGTGTTGCCATGATGAATCTTGCCCCCCGTCTCCCTTTCAACCCTGCAGGAGCACAGCCGGGAGCGTCCTAGTGTGCTTACAAGAGCACCCACACCAGCTCTTGTGCAGTCTGCTACAATCCAGTGCCCACTCGAGTGCAATAAGCAAGTGACAGAGCCATTAGGTGTGCTTGTACTGTCAATGAAAGCTCGAAATCGCTTAGGAGTGGTAGGTTTTGCTTGTGCTCTTGTGCTCCTGTGTTCTACAGCTGAAATGATGTACCTAGTATTTATGCAGGTAGCAGTTGTCAGCACAGCAGCAGTGCTCTGGAGGGTTGTTTTGTAACTCTGTTGTAACCGTTTGCTGTATTTTAAGGAGGTTCAAGCTTCTGAAGAACAAAACTGCTGGGCCTGAATGGCTGGTACGGTATTCAGGTCCCATACTGGTTCTGGGGCAGGCCAAGTAAGTACGGTAATGAGGCATACCGGTATCTACCAGTAAGCTGGAGAGTCAAACGGCATTCACACACACACATGCTGGAGAGAGGCTAATGATACACTCAACCCAACCCAACTCATTCCTGCTACAGAAGGTTGGATTCGCCTGAAGGCTGCAATAGGTATGCGGTCTGCTACTTCCATTTGCACTAGCACACTATCAGAAACAGCTACAGTACCTTATCCATCAGGTGTTGGCTGAAATGCCTGGGATCACAGTACGAGAACAGAAAATGCATTCACCAGGGCTCGCAACCCAATCAGGCGCTTTATTCCATGCTAAGCTAGCTGGGCGGGCCAGGGCACTTATGCATCTGAGGTAGATCGATGTGCTTCCTCTGTGCCCGCCTCAAGAACCCGCGTCCCTTGTATCAGTATGCATCTACTAATTTACGGTATCCATTTGCTAACTAACTTGGGTTGGGTGGCTGAGAGTCTCTAGCATTATTTATTGCTGTTGCTGTGTCGGTCGGTGAGTGCTGTGTCAAAGCGTGACCCTCCCGCATGCTGCCAGGCACGCCTTGACATTAGCGTCGCCCTGTGCCCCCTTGCAGCATGCAGCACACTGTGCTGCCACGGCGCCTGCTCCCTCCTCCGGCACGCACACTGCCATGCTCCACCGCACCATGCCATGCCATGCCACAGTGTTGTGAGGAGCCAGGGTTCGGACGGAACAAAGAAGACAAAGACAAGGATAAGGGCAACGGCAAGGAGACGCGAGGAGATATGGGGAACTGGGAGGGGCGGTTACAACGATGGGATGGGGAACCAAAGGAGCGCATGGGACGGATGGACGCGAGGCGTTGACACGAGGGGACGTATGGGAAGGTTCATGTAGAAAGTCTAGCGTGGCGGAGGAGAGGGGGAGGGAGGGAGAAAGCTCACTCTTGCACCCCTTGATGCGGCGGCAGTTGGAGAACTGCCCCTTATTGCACGCGCAGCGCTGGCATATGTCGCCCGCCTTGATCGCGCCAGATGCCACTCCGCTGCTGTAGAAAATAGGGCCCCACCCGGGCCCCGCCGAGACACACTGCCCCGCGGACACTGGCGCACGGGGAGAGGACGGGGGAAGAAGGAGAGGGGCGGATAGGGTTGGATAGAGGGTGCGGATGATACGGGCACTGCTGTTGGGATTAGTAGTGCTGTAGGGTGGCAGGGTAAGGTGGAGAAGGCGGGGATGTGTTGGTGGAATGACGCATTATTGCTGCAAATGATCAAGTGTGGTGGGTGGCGCGGTTGAGGGGAGGTGGGCGTACTTGCGGGGTGCGTGCAGGTGCCCAGATTGACCTTCTTGACTTGGTTGACCACGCACCTGCATTCACACATATCACGCACACGCACGCACATCGAAACACAGTAACACATACAAGGTAAGGGACTGGTTACTGGCAGGGTGCAAATCACTGATTTAGGAGCAACGAGCATTCACGGCGCTTGTGTGCGCTCTTCGGATCCTATCACCAATAAGCTCCTGCTGCATTTCCGCTCGCACTAGCCCCGTATCCCTGTCTCCACCTTCTCACTCCGCCAAGCTCTCCTTCCGCGGCCGGTCCCCCCCAACTCACAGGCTCTGGCGCCCGGAGCACGCGGAGCCCACCGGCTTCCCCGCAGTGTCCACTCTGCACCGCGGCCCCGGCTCGCACTCGCACGACGCGCCGGCAGCGCCGGGGAGGCGCGAGCAGGTGCAGTTGGGGCAGGCGTAGTTGGCGGTGATGCTGGTGGTGCCCACGGCGTACGACACGGATTGGTAGATGCAGTAGTCGTTAGCTGGTGGCGGGGATAGCAGGCGCGCGGGAAATCGGGAACGGGTAAGCTAATGGCCATTCAGCGCCGTGGATATGGCGGTCTTTTCCTAAAATATATTGTTGCGGACAGCAGGCGAGGATATATATCAGGCGAGTGCGTGCCTCTGCGTGTGCTGATGGGGCGAGCTAGAGCACAACTTGCGAGTGCGGGTAGCCCTTCGTGCGGCAGTTTGTGTGTGTGAGAGTGAGTGAATAAGGGAAACAGTGGGACTTACAGTTATAGGAGTCGACGCACACGCCTTGGAAGAGCTTATCGTGCGACGCGGGGAGCACCTGCTTCACCACGCACCTGCGCAGGAGCACGGAGCAACACGGCACGATTCGGACATAGATCGAGGAGTGAAAATGAGGCCTCAGGGATATAAGCGACGCGACAAAACAGTGCAGTCCAAATGCTGCTCGGGATGAGGAGAACGCTTTGCTGGGCCAGAGAGGAGTTGAATGTGGGAGGTACGACGAGCTACTAGCAAGCAATAAAGACGTGTTTGATGGGGCTGGTGGGATTGATGGGGAAGATGGGGCGACGCACTGGAAGGGTTGCTTGCAGCTGGGCTGTGCCGGCATGTACTGCTTGCTCCAGAAGCACGTCGCGCCGTCTTGCAACGGCGGCTTTGGTGCTGCTGACGCGGGAGATGCAGTCACTGCACACACGAAGCAGTCAAGCGCGCAGCGGTTAGAGGAGCTCCGGAATCAGTCGACGCACGACCGTGGCATGCAGGAGTAAGAACTGCATGACTCATCACGCATGTGAGTTGCGTGGTAGCGCATGCCAGCTTACACGCGAGGGAGAGGGCGAGCGCGGAGACGAAGAGAGAAAGAGTCTTGGCCATGGTGGCTGGAGATGGGGCGTGCGAAGCTCGGCGCTGGATTCGCTTGGAGCAGACGGTCGAGTCTGAGAAGATAGCGGGACACGTTTCGCGGAGTGTCGACTGGCAAGTGATGCAGCAGAAGTAGAGGCTCACAAAACAAACAAGTTCAGAGAAAGCCACGCGGTTATGCTGAGGGAACCAGTAACAAAGTGAAAGTGCCGTCTCTCAAGGCATCAACTGGTGTTGAAGAGGACTAGGGGTGTGGTGTGCTGGTGCTATTTGAAGAAGTGGAATGTCGGGCGGTTGTGACATCTGCGAGAAAGCGGCGGAGCTTTTGTAGCCGCAATGACGCACGCAGTCAGAACCAAGTCATCGAAGAATGCGCAATCCGCGCCGCCACATTCATTCCCTGGCGAAGCGCGAGGAGGCTTTACCTCCTGCCGAGAGAACTGGAATCCAACAATAATGTCACATCAATAATGGTGTGGGTTGAGTGTCGTTGCCCATAGGGAGGATGATAATCATGATCCGCAGAACACGCAACGAGTCAGATAACGAATGATAGAGAAAGTGTTAACAACATTTCATATTCCCGTTTGGTGGTGGCTCTTTAAACGGGAATGAAACATACTGTCATCAAACGTTTTGGAATAAATAACAATAGTAAATATGTTACTTCATACCAATAAGAATAATCAATTGACAGTTACCGAAAGTAGATCATTTATCACTTTTTGTTATATTTTTATATAGTCAATACTAGCGTCATGTATTCATGTGGTTAACCGGGCATAAATTCAAACGCTCATTGGAGGAACGTGGATCTGGCAAGATCTGCAGCGGAGGAATCTCGGGAAAGCCTGCTGGTTTTGTGCCTGGCAAGTTTCAGTGGCGATCACTTTTGTGTGGGCTGGGTGGGGCGGTTTTGGCTGGGCGTTCACTGGTCAACTTATGACCAGACCTCAAAGCAGGTGGTTCCCGCGCTTTCCATGGTCGCGCCGGCGAATGAGCTGCAGACAGCAGAACAACCTTGCAACTTCCCGCCAATGGTTCGAGCCTTATCTCTTACTACATGCCATTTGGCAACTCTTTGCCTCCCAAGCCAATTTCAAACTGCGTTTTCGCGCCAGTTTCTCCAGGTGAGACGAGCAGCTATTGGTTCGATTCTGAACAAGCCTGCCATGGGCCAGCGATGGTGGAACAGTGGAGTACGCTTGGTCAAAGATGGCAGGCAGTCATGTGGGATGGGTTTGTCCCAGCCAAGCCCAGGAACCGCATTCCTTGAAACATCGGCGCATCCCGAAAGGATTTTCAAGGCAGGATTTCTTCTCCCCCTCCCCGGACCCCGGACCATGGACCCCGGACCCCGGACCCCGGACCCCGGACCCCGACCCCGAACACAAGCAAACCCATTCACCCCGCCAACCAATGTTGCCCAGAGCATCCGAACAGCCAGACTTCCCTCCCCATTTTCCTCAAAACCTCCAGAAAAGGAAGTTCCTTTCCGCTTTTCAATGCCAACCGCCCGTGAATGTGATCAACTCGCACAGTTCCCTTCCCCCTTCCCCTCGCACTGTGGCGCGGACCATCCCTTGAAATCCCCCCCCCACCCCTCCCTCCCCCTGTGTTGACGAATTCCCCTCTCCCCGCCTCAAGGCTCTTCCTTCCCACTGTCCCCCATCCCGCGCATCCCTTTACGCTCACTGTATCCCGTCGTCCTGGACGGGGCGCGCTTGTCAGGGAGCCGGACCACATGCGTATCACAGCTCGACGGGCACCAGCGCAGCAAAGCAATCTCCTCCTCACCAAAAGCCAGCGCTACTGCAATGCAACGCAAGCACTCTCATCTCATCCTCCTCCCATCCCATCCCGTACTGCTGCAACCTCCCCCCCAATGCTGGCTTTCAAACTGTCCTCCGAATCTCAACCGAAGGGGTTTGGATCCACACAATAGTATAACTCCCATATTCCGACCAACTTCCCCATCGACCGTTTTTTACCGCTCCTGTGTTAGTCCCTGAACTAACCAAAACTGGCGGTTTTCCTTTCTATCGGCAAGGAGACATGAAGAAAAATACCATTTCGCTCAGTGCCTTGAGTCCGGTTTTAATCTGAAAAGGAAAGGTTTCGTCGTTCCGGAATGGCAGCCATGGTGGGTCCATCTACCCCTATGGGGTGCGTGCACCCCTCCTCCGGTTCCTGCGATCCATTAGAGGAAGCAAAGCCGTCCAAGCCACGGCTCTCCTCTCCCATGCAAACGCAACCCTTTCCGCCTCTCTCCCTCACTGACCGCATCCCCAGGCCGCCAGCGTCAACAAATCCCGCGGCAGTGCAAAGCTCCGCCGCAGCCGTACCCCCTCTCCCCCCGTCCCTTCACCAGAGCCTTTGCCAGAAGGTGCTTCAAGCGCGGGATGCGCAAAGCAACATCCCGTCATCCTCTCCCCCCATGTCACCCGCCCTGAAACCGCTGTTCCTCTCCCCCATGTCTCCGCACACGCCTCCGCTTCCGCCGTTTGCGTCCGCGAGCCCTGTCGTCACGCCGTCGCTGCATCCCGCGAGCCGAACGCCGCAGGCCGGCAGAGGAGCTCCAGGCGGCACGAATCTGCGGCAGGCTGCTTCAGGCGCGGATGATCGCACGTATGGCGGCATGAAAGTCGGCATGTACCATCCGGAGCAGGAGAATCTCTGCCGGTCGCCGTCTTGGTAAGCCGGAGGAGGCGGATCTTGCTTTGCACTGGGAATGAAGGATCGGAAAAGTTGCGGTGCTTTTAGAGGAGGATTTTCAACCATTTCGGCTGCCGCACTCGTTCCTCTCTTCCGATTTCAGGGCCTTTCCTCGACGATGCGACGGAAAAGGCTTACCATTCCCGCCCGTTTTCGTTCTCCTCTTCTTCCTGCTTCCCCGCGCCCTCCCGCAACTGTGTCACGACCGCAGGCCGAGCCACAAGCGCAAGCGGCACGAGGTGCAGGACTGGTCGCCAGGCGTCCCGTGCGGCGCGCTCCGCATGGCCGCCGGGTGCCCGTCGCCGCATCGCCTCAGCAACTGCAACAGCCCAGTCATGGGCGCGCATGCGTCCGCGCGGCCATTCGCGAGCGGAGGATCTGGGGGCGCCGGGGAGGCCATCGGTGGCAGTGGCGGCGACGGGTGGACCCCGTCGAAGAGTCCGCGGTTGATGCCGCACCACATGGTGCGTCGCAGGAGGAGGGGAGAGTGAAAGCATTGGTGCTTCCAATGGTTGATGTCACGCCCACGCCTCCCTTGCCGGCGCCATGGCTCGTCACGGCGTGTAACGAGTCTTCATCCCGTTCTCCTTCCTCATTTCCCTCTCTTTTTCTTTCTGTGTCGCTCCGTCTTCCAGGATTCGAAAGGGACTGAACGATCTCCCCGCTCGGGACGCTGTGACTGCTGCTGCTGCTGCTGCTGCTGTGGGATTCAGAAACAGCCCGGGAGCACCGGCCCACCATCAGCCGCCACCGTCGCAGCAGCAACAGCAGCAGCAACAGCAGCAGCAACAGCAGCAGCAACAGCAGCAGCAGCAGCAGCAGCAGCAGCAGCAGCAGCAGCAGCAGCAGCAGCAGCAACAGCAGCAGCAACAGCAGCAACAGAAGCAGAGCATGTCTCCCGCATCGGCCGCGCGACTTAGCAGAAGCTACTCGCAGCCCTCCCTGGGTCACCAGTCGCACGGGCAGCCGTCGTCGCAGCAGCACGGCGCGCGCACCCCGCAGGTCCTCAGCCCCTTCAACCGTCCTCAGCCGCACCCTCACGCGCACCCTCAAGCGCACGGCGCGTCGTCTGCTCCGCAAGATAACCGGCAGCACCCGTGCCCATCTAACACTCCGCAACCGCCGAATCCTAACTATGGCGCTCAGCAGTCCGCGCCGTCCGGCGCGCCATCGCCTGCAGCAGCAAGGCCGTGCCCGCCGTGTCCCTCCCCGCTCGTTTTCCCGCAGCAAACGCCGCACACTCCTAGCCTGCAACCCGCGCAAGCGCCCTCCGTCCCCTCCAGCCCCGCGCCGGTGTCGTCCCCCAGCCTCTCCGGGAAGCCTGCGCTCGTGCCCATCGCTCCGCGGAAGATTCTCCCCGCGGCCCCCGCGCTCCACCCAAGCGGCATTCCGCCGGTGGGGCAGAGAGGCGCAAAGATCCTCGGGCTCATGGGTCTCAACGTCGCGCCCGGCGCGCTCCCCAACCTTATGGCGCATCCCCCGCAACTGGGGTCCATGGGGGCGCACGCAGGCGGGGTAATGGGCATGGGCGCGGGGATGAGCATGGGTCCGCCTGGCTCGTTCCCCTCGTCCTCCCCCTCCGCTCTCTCCCGCTCCCAGAGCATGACCACCAGCAGGGTGCCCGTTCTCCCCGGCCCCTCCGCCACTGCCGCCGCTATTGCGCGCGCGCGCGCGTCAATGCCGCGGAGCCTCAGTGCGCCGCGTGTGCTTGCTGTGAACGGCGCTCCTGCAGCTTTAACTCCTACTGTTACCAGCGTGAACGGTGCTGGTGGTAGCTTTGCCGCCGGCAGCAGCGGGGGAGGTCCCATGATTGGCTCGCCATTCCTCTCGCCGTCCCTTGCCGGCAAGCCGTCTCACATCGCCGGAATCCGTCAGCTCTGCCAGTCCCCTGCTGTCGCGCAGCTTCCGCCACCCGCGCTTCCGATGCACGCGCTGCCCCCGCTCGGGGGATCTCCCGCCGTTGGCGCGGGGGGCGCTGCCGCGGGCAGTCAGATGGGGGCTGGGGCGAACGTGGGCGGAACGAGGGCGGGTAGTGTGAACGCAGTAGCGCCAGCCATGCGGCAGGCAGGCATGGCCTGGGTGGACCGGCTTTCGAATCTCGCGCACCATCATGCCAGCAAGCAGCAGCCGCAGCAGAAGCAGCAGCCGCAGCAGAAGCAGCAGCCGCAGCAGAAGCAGCAGCAGCAGCAGCCGCAGCAGCAGCAGCAGCAGCACAGCAGGCAGCAGCAACAGCAAGCTCAGCCCGTGCAGCAGCAAGAGCGTGTGGCCGCAGCAGCATGCAGCTCCCCTGCAGTCCGTACGAGCAGTGTCACAGGCGGCAGTGCGGCAACGGATGCCTCGGCAGCCAGCAGCTGCCAAGCGGGCAGCGGGATCAAGGGAGCGAGTGCGGACGAGAGGGACAGCCGGGGAGACGCGGAGGAGCAGGCGAAGGCGGGTGGAGCAAAGCTGGCGGCAAGCGCTAGCCTGGTGAGCAGGAACGTGCCGCTGCTGCAGCAGACGTCGCATCACAAGTGCTCAGGCGGTGGGTTCTCTGTTGGCCCTGGCCTCGCTGCGCTGCAGCGCCGCCCCCTGCCTCCTGTGCCCGAGGCGGAAGGGGATGCTGCTCCTGATGCTGCTCCTGATGCTGCTGTGGCCGCGAGTCTGCCCAAATGTGAATCCGTGTGTGACAGCTCCGTGCCTGCTGTCTCGAACGCGGGCCCTCCTCCTGCTTTTGCTGCGACTGGTGCTGCTGATGCGGCGAACGGTGCTGGTGATGGTGCTGCCGGTGCTGGTGCCGGCACTGCGCACACGGCGGTGGCGCTGCAGCATGCACGCAGAGCAGAGGAGAACATGGAGACGGAGCAACAGCCGCAGGTGCACCAGCAGCAGCACCCTGCGGTGCCGCAGCAAGCACCGAATTCTCAGGAACAGCTTCTGCATGAGGTCAAGCCTGAGCTTGTGCAGGGTCAAAATCAGCAGCAGCAGAGCAAGGTGGAGCACGGGGAGAATCCGCCGCCGCCGCAGCAACCGGAGAAGCAGCCGACCCAGCAGCAGCAGGAGCAGCAGCAGCAGGAGGAGGCTTCCCAGAAGCAGCAGCACGAGGAACCCCTGCAGGCAGCGAAAGCAGCAATGGTAAAGCCAGATGAGGAGCCACAAGCACAGGCACAGTTGGAGAGCCCCAATAAGCCGGTCTGCACCATGGCACACACAACCCCCCCGCCGATGCCTCTCCCACAACCTCCTGTGGGATCTCGACCTCCTGCCGCTGCTCCTCCTGCTCTTGACGCTGCCCCCTATGCGCCGTCCGCAGCTGCCTCTTCGCCGTTCGTCATTGCAGCACCTGCTGCAGCTCTCCCCGTGGCTCAACCTGACTCCATGCCTGCAGGCCTGGGTGCGACCCTGCCGCCCCTCTTCCCGCATGAACTCAGCTACGCGGGCTGGTCTGGGGCAGACGAGTCGCTGGGCGGGGCGGGCGGTGAGGAGGATGGAGCGATGTGGACGGATGCAGGGCTGATCACAGCGGAGGACATGGAGGCGACCGCGAAGGAGGTGCTGGAGTGGTACCCCGATGGCTCTGATGGTGCCTTCGTGGGCGGAGAGTACTACGCCATGCCTGGCGACGCTGCCCCCGACCTCCCTGCGTTGCCTGCTGCCCCCGGGCCTGCTGCTGCTGCTGCTGCTGCTGCTGCAGTTGGTGTGTCTGTTGCTGAACCTGTTGCGGCAGGCTCTCTGGCTGTTCACACGGGTCGACCTGCAGTGGTGCATGTTCCGAATCAGCAGCCCAGCTTCAACGCCTGGCAAGCTCCTCTTGCTCCATCGCTCCAGGGCCACTCCTGCATGCCGCCACCTTCCTTTCATCCCTCAGACGCAGCAGGATTCACTCCCGCTGCAGGTGCTGCGGGCATGGCAGGGTCAGCACAGGGCCATGGCTTTGCAGCAAGGGGCGGAGAGCAGGGGATGCATATGGAAGGGGGTGAGGAGGCGGTAGGTGGGCTTGAGTGCACTGACAGTGTGGTGGGGCTGTGGGGTGCTTTTGGGGAGGAAGAGAGGCCCCATAGCGGGGCGCACATGCTGGGCTGAGACAGCTGGGTGTGGCATGTGCGTGGGGTGTGGAGGGGGGTCAAGGGGGAGAGATGGACAAGGTGATTGTTCCGCATGCTGGGTGCTTCACCATCTGCACGGTGATTGTTGCGCGTTTCTGCTTGCTCTTGCGTCATGTTTGCTTTGTGTGTTTCATTCTGTGAGTGCATGAGTGTGCGTGTGTGTGTCTCTGTCTGTGTTTTCCGTGCGTACACGTATGCCCGTGCATGCCTGTGTGTCAGTTTGTCTGTTTCTTTTTTATGTATGGAAGCTTGCGCATCCATGCGTCACCATACTTGCCCTACCCTCCGTCACAGGCACAGCAATCGCTGGCCCCCGGGGGTAGGGCACCATGCAGCGTGCCTTAGCTATGTCTTTGGCATGTGGCTACTACTACACACTAAAATACAGCCCACGGTCCCCTTCATGTGCCGCTGAAGCCCTGTCAAGAGGAGAACAGGCTCCGTGCTGTAAGGGTACAGTTAGTGGGCGATGCACACTGCATGTGCTTGCAATCTTCAAGTTGCTGGCTTTAAATGGTGGTGCAGGGTGGGTGGATTGATGGCAGATATGGTTATGACTTTCAATGTAATATCTATTACTGTACCTTTTTCTTTTGGAATGGTTTGAAATGCTACCTGTGGTTCAACATTAGCTTAACTTAACTGGCTGCTGCAAGAATCAGAACTCAATAACAGGAGTGGTAGTCATGGACGAAATGAAAAAGTTGGGAGTAAGGAGTAAATGCAAATCTGCAAAATGCAATAGTGTTGGGAAAAGCATACTCTTTCATATCCGCGTAAATACAAAAATCAAAAACATTGACGAGGCTTTCTGTACCGGATCTGCACCAGGTTTTTGCGGGAAAGCTGACTGACACCGAGTCGGTCGGATGCGAGCGAAATTGTTTCAGCAGCGCAACTACCCCACTAGCCGTTTCACTTCGCTGTCATGCGCGAATCTCGCTGTCACCTCCCTCTTTCTCATTCTCGCTTTTGTCTCCCACCAGTTTCCGAGATTCAGATATTCATGTATGTTTCGTCAGACTTACCATTCTGCTTCCCCTGCGTGATCCATTGTTGCCACGAGTTTTACGTGCAGAACCCTAACGTTAGCAACACAGAGTTTCGGGCTTTTTGTTCTTGTATCATTCTCTCGTTCTTGGGGCAGTTTGATGGGTGTTTCCCTAGTAACGTGCACTGATTGTTCCGCGTTCTCCGCTCATGCCAGCCAGCATTCACCAGAGTTCCCGCGGCGGAACCCCGTCGGGCAGGCCTCGCCGCATAGTGCACGCTAAGCGATCCGGTCGGGTTGCCGACGTGGGAACAGCGAGCAGCGATGCGCAAGCACACGCAGTATCCGGAAAAAGGCTCTCCTTCATGGATCTTGATCCGGAGACATCGGATCATGCGCACTCGCAGTCATCTCAGCAGCAGCAGCCTCCCGCTGCCTTCCCTTCCGCCGCGTTCACCTCGCCCTTTTCCGTGTTCGGAGCAGCCGAAACGCCGCTAGTAACCCCCACCGGACCGTCTGTAGCCGGTTCGGATCCCGCATCGATGGCTGCGAACAAGCCTGCGAAGGTTGCAGCGCAAGAGCCGCCGCTGTTCCGCTTCGGGACAGGGGGAACCGCGGCGCAGGCGCAAGCGCAGGGATCGAGGGACTCGACCGGCGCGCCGTCACGGAGCACGCACAGCCGGAGGGTGGCGAGAGGGGGGTGGAACCGGGGAAGAGGGAAGGGCGCGAGTCCGGAACCCATGCTCACGGATTTCGCTGAACCCGCCCGTGATTTGCCTGGTGGTCAGAGTGGCTTTGTGGGTGGCGCCGTGGATGGCGGCGTGAGTGGCGGCATGGGTGGTCTGTCTGCGAACGGATGGACCTGGTTGAAACCTGGCAAGGTCGCCGGCGGCGGGTCCGCTTCTTTCGAGGTGAATCCAGCAGCAGGGTTTTCTTTCGGCAATGGCGTTTCCGCACCTCCTGCTCCGTCCGCAACGGCGGCAACTGCTGATGTTGAATTGCGCGACGATGACCATTCAGGCGAATCTAGCGAGTCGTTTGTAACAGCTGCTAGCGCATCCGTCTCTACCGCGTCTGCTGCCTCTGCTGCAGCGGCCTCTGCTGATACCGCTGCGCGCCCCAGTGCTGCTGTTGCTGCTGCTGCTGCCGCCGCGACTGACGCTCCGTCATCTGCGCCCACGTCAGCCAACGGTTCACCGGCCGCGAATGGCAGCGCAATGCCCTTTCCGTCATTCAATATCTTCGGATACCCTCGCCCCCACACCTCCGCTGCTTCCGCCTCGCCCGCGCCTGCCCCGCTCTTTGGGTCCGCCGTTCCCGTAATCTCCGCCTCCTCCGCCTCGCAACCGCCGACCGTACTGCCGCCTCCATTCGCCTCGCCCCTGTTTCACACCTCCCAAACCCCCCCGCTTTTCTCCTCTTCCGCGCCCTTTGCGGCGGGGCCTCCAGGAACCATACCGCTCTTCTCCTCCTCTTCCACCTCCTCCTCCGCCGCCGCCGCCGCCGCTGCTGCAGTTTTCCAAATGACAGCGGCAGCCCCGTTCGCGGCAGCAGGCGCGGTGAGGCCGCGCATGGCATCGGAGGGCGCGCGCGCGGGCGGGAAGAAGGTCAAGTCGCGCGGCTCGCGGGTGGCAGGCAAGGCGGGGACTCCACCGGCTGCAGGGGCTGCAGGGGCTGCAGGGGCTGCAGGTGCTGCAGGGGCTGCAGGGGCTGCAGGTGCTACTGGGGCGGGTGGTGGGCAGGACGCGGTTGAGATGGTGCGCGATAGTGGTGGTGCTGGTGGAGGGGATTCGAGCAGCGGAGCAGATGCGGATGATGCTGCAGCAATGGCGGGTTCTGGGTTTCGAGCAATGGCAATGGCTGCAGAGGGCGATGCCCCTGTGCAGGACAGTGCCGCACCTGACCCTCCTCCTGCTGCCGCCGCGCCTGCTGCTCCTGCGGCTGCTGCGGGGGGGGCTGCTACTGTTGTTGCTACTGCTGTCCCGCCCGTCTCCGAGTCTGCAGCATCTTCGGCCAAGCACGAGCGCGGGGACGCCGCGAGCAGCGCGGGCGCGCAGCCCTCCCCTGGCTTCATCTTCGGCGCCTCCCCCGCCCCCGTCCCCTCCGCGCCCGCGCCCACCATGCACTTTGACTCGCTTGCCCGCGCCAACCCCGAGCTCGCGGGTACAAGCGCTATCCCTTCTGCGGGGGCGGGGCTTGCCCCGCTGCCCGAGGTGGTGTTTGCAGCAGTGGCAGAGGGACACGTGGCAGCACAGGAGGCCCGCGCGGGCACGGCGGGGGCTCGTAGGAGGGCAGTGGTGGGGAAGCGGGCAGGCGGGGGGAGGGCTGCTGCGCGAGTGGGGAGAGGTGCGCGTGGAGTGGGGTCGGCTGATCCGGTGAGCTCTGCGCCAGCGCCCACAGTTTCGAGTAGCGCAGCAGCAGCAGGGGCAGCAGGGGCAGCAGGGGCAGCAGGGGCAGGGAAGGCAGGGAAGGCGGAGGCAGACATGGGGTTGGGGTTGAGCCTGGGGCCGCGGCAGTGGGGCGTGGCTGAGGGCTCTGGAGAGCAGGACGGCGCAGGCAGTGGGGCAGGTGGGGCACGCGTGGGGTCTGGGGAGGCGCAGATGCGCGCGGAGGAGGTCCTTGGCGCGGATACAGCAGCGGATGGGGAGGAAGGGGATGAAGGGGAGAAAGGGGAGAAAGCGCAGCAGGGGGAGGTGAGGCACGAAGAGGGCGTTGGAGGGGCGCGAGACGCGCAGCAAGGCTCTCAGGGGCAGGCAGGGGAGAGCAGCGAAGGGCACGCTGGCACGAATGAGGCTGGTGGTGCCAAGGAGGCTGGTGCGGCGAGCAGCACTGAGGGAGCAGAGGAGAGGCGGGTGAGGGAGGAGTGGAGGGAAGCGGTGGGTGGAGAGGCGAGTGTGCGGGCGATAGAGGAGAGGATGGCAGGGGTTGAGATCGGTGACAGTGGGTTGGCGGCGGCAGTGGCGAGTGTGCAAGCAGAGATGGCGAAGATGGCCGTGAGAGGGGTGCTGCTGCCTCACGCCCCCGAGAAGGACGTGTACCCTCCTCCTGCTCCTCCTCCTCCTGCTGCTGCTTCTGCTTCTGCTTCTGCTTCTGCTTCTGCTTCTGCTTCTGCCTCTGCAGCTACCCCTACAATGAGTGGCATGAGTACAACGACCACCGTTGGCAGTGGTGCTGGTGGTGGCGGCACGGGAGTGACGGCAGGGCTGAGTGCGGACAAGGCTGGAGGGGCGGGTGAGGAGAGTGAGGGTGAATCGAGAGAGGGGCAGGTGGAGAGTGTTGTGAGCCGGTTGCAAGAGATGAGTGTGGGTGCTGGTGGTGAGCAGGGCGGTGGCAGAGGAGTGGATGATGGTGGCGAGCGAAAGGAGCAGCGCCGTGAGCAGCGGCAGAAGGAGAATGAGCAGCAGCAGCAGGAGGAGGAGGAGGAGCAGGTGAATGAGCAACTGCTGAGGTTGAAGCTGTCTGTTGAAGCAGCTGCTGCTGCTGCTGCTGCTGCTGGTGATGGGGTAGGGGAGCACGAGAATGCCACGGCGCAGGAAGGACGCCGAGGAAACACCGTGGCAGCAGAGGAAGGAGGCGTTGCAGCGGCAGCAGCGGCTGTTGCAGCAGCAGCTGCTGCTGCAGCCGCGGCCGCAGCAGCAGAGGAAGACGCAGAAGCAGCAGCAGCAGCAGTGCCGGATCTGCTAGCTAACCTGAATCTGAACTCGCTCCCGCTCAACCTGCCAACAGGCCCAGGGTCCGACGAAAAGCTGAGGCACTATATGGATGGGCTGGCATCTGGTCTTAGACTAGGGCTGCGTTTATTAAGGGACTCCTCTGTCGGCCCTGGACCCACTGTCCCACCAGGGCCCTTCAACAACCCCCCAGGGCCTGCTGCTGCTTCTGCTGCTGCTGCTTCTCCTGCTGCTGCCGCAGGGCCTTTCTCCCAAGGGCCTACCTCCGCCTTCCCTACACAATTTTCTCAACAGGCGTCCGCAGCAAGGCCTTCAGCTTCGCTTGACGCATCTGCTCCGCCTGCTTTCGCTGCGCCCGGTGCTGCCACACCACCGCTCAGCACCCCCCCGGCCTTTGTGTTTTCAACGCCCAACCCCAACTCGCACATCCGTTTTTCTGGCCAGTCGTCGCCGCCGTTCCACACCCCGCCCACGTCCTTCGCCTCTTCGCCTGCGCCAATCTTCACACCGCCTTCCCCATACACACCACTCTTTTCCACGCCCTCCGCCCCCCTGTTCGGCTCAAGAACTGCCGCAGCAGCACCAGCAGCAGCAGCAGCAGCAGCAGCACCTGCTGCTGTTGACTCTTCTACCGCTGCGGCGGCAGCTCCTGTGTTCTCGTTTGGGCTTGCAACCGCACCTGGTTCTGAGGCTCCTCCGTTTGTGTTTGGGACGGGGGCGAGGGTGGGCGGAGAGCGAGGTGGGCAGAGGGGGCGAAGCAGGGCGAGTGTTGACAGAGCCAAGGGGCGGCCTGTGGGTGAACACACGACTCCTCCTCCCGCTGCTGCTGCGCCTGCTGCTGTGACGCCTCCTGCTACGGATGCAGCCCTTGCTGCTGCCACTCCTGCTGCTGTGCCTGCTGCTACTGCTGCACCTACTGCTGTTGCTGCTGCAGCTGGTGGGAAGGATGCATCAGTGGTGGAAAGAGAGCCTGTCCTCAACGTGCCTGGGCCATTAATGTCCTCCTCATCATCATCGTCAGCATCGTCAACAGCTGCAGCAACAGCGGCAGGAGCCGGCACTGCCACCACCGTCACCGCTGCCGCCGCCGCCGCCACCGCCACCGCCCCAGAAGCAGCAGCAGCGCCGGTGTTCCAGTTCGGGTGCACATCAGGAGGGGCACCGTCTGCGCCCTTCACCTTCTCCTTCACGTCCCCTCTCGCGCCCTCCTCCTCGTCTCTGCCCACTCCCTTCACGCCCCTCTTCACCACCCGGCCATCAGTAACGCCATCCGCTGCAGACAGCAGGGGGGGAAGCCGGAGGAGCTCTGGAGGAAGTGGCGCTACAGGAAGTTGTGGTGCAGGAAGTGGTGTGGCTGGTAGCAGCCCTAGTCCCATGGAGTGCTCTCCTGGTGAGGCGCGGTTCCCTTCAGGCGCTACAGGCGAAGGGTTGTCAGGTTATGGTGCGGGTGGTGGGAACAGTGGGCGAAGTGAGAGGAGGGGGAGCGGCGGGGAGTCTGATAAGGGACGTGAGGTGGATGGTGTTGGAGCGAAGCTGGAGCAGATGGGAATACGGGAGGAGAGCGCGAGGCAGGGGGGTGGGGATGGGGAAGGCGAGCAGCAGAGGGAGCAAGCCAGCGGGTTGTTTGAGGATGTGGGGTTGTTTGGAGCAACGGGAGCAGCGGCAGCGCAGGCGAGAGCAGCAGAGGTGCGACTGGAGGATCTGGCAGGGTTCAGATTCGCCGCAGGGGCTGCTTCCCCTCGCCGTAGGCGTGCTGCATGTGCTGCTGCTGCTGCTGCTGCTGGGGGTGGTGGTGGTAGCGCGAGGCACAGCCGCCACACGCCCCACCGCATGGGCCAGGGGAGCAGGAGGGGGGTGTCTTCTAGGGAGAGAGCTGCTGGTGCAGGGGGTACTGGCTCTGCTGCTCGCGTGCCTGCTGCTGCTGCTGCTGATGCAGCTTCGGGTGATGGGACTGCCTCCACTGCTGCTGCTGCTGCTGTTAATGCGAAGGGCACGGGTGATGCTGCAAGGACTAATCGTTTTGCTGCTACTGGTGGGGCGAGTGGTGTGAGGAAGGAGGCTGGGGCAGGAGCAGGAGGAGCGGGAGAAGAGCCTGCAAGGGCAGCGAGGAGAGGCATTGAGGGGGCAGCCAAGGACGCAGAGCAGTCGTGCGAGAAATGGCGGCTCAAGTGCGTCCCTGCTCACAGCCCTTCGGTTCCCCATCTCCTTGCGCGACACTCTCTGATTGTTTGTTTTGACCGTGCTCTCAACCACCCTGCCCTTTCCTTTTGAATCCAGTCTAGCCTCTATGCCACTCCCTCCCTCCTTCCACCTGTCTATTCACCCTCCCTCACCCCCTGCCACCCGCACCCCGACCTTCCTCCCCTACCTGCGTTGCTTCCCCCAGGGGCAACCAGGTGTATGGCAAGGGCGAGTACGCGAGAGCAGAGGACTTCTACTCGCGTGGGCTCAGCACAGCGGCGGCTTTCACAGCGTTCCCCGACTGCATGCGTGCGGCCATGCTGTGCCACAGCAACCGTGCCGCCACGCGCAAGCACCTGGGCAGGGTGCGGGAAGCTCTGCGTGACTGCCGCGCTGCGCTGGCTATTGACGGGTCGTTCTCGCGCGTGCTGCTGCGCATGGCCAGGTGCGTGGTGGTGGAGTGTGGTGGGGTGCGGTGGGGTGCAACAACAGACACCAGACACTGTTCTCCCGTTCCCACTTTCCTCTGTTTGTTCTGCTCGTGTCCAACGGCGCTGCCCTCACGTTGCAGTACACTCCACATGATAATCACATGCGTTTTTTCCAATGATTACTCTCCCTGCACCGGCCTCCCCGTTCCCCCCCTTCCCCCGAAATGCTCTCCCGTGCTTCTTTGCAACCAACGCACCAATCCCCAGCTGCCACCTGGCGCTTGGTGAGCTGCGAGAGGCACGGCAGGTGTACGTGTCTCTGAAGCAGCAGCCCTTGGGATTGCCGCAGGGTGGAGCAGGCGGAGATCCCAAGGTGGCGCGCGAGGCGGAGCAAGGTTTATCACAGGTGGACCAGGTGGAGGGGAGCATGGGCAAGGCTCTCTCGCTGCTGCGCGTGCCTTCACATGTGTGGCCTGCAGCTGTTGCTGCTGCAGGGGGTGTTGGGGGCGCAGGGGCAGCCGCAGAAGGGGCAGGGGGGGGTATTTCGCGGTCGGCATCAGCAGGGGCGGTGGGGGGAGCGGGAGCAGGTGGGGGAGCAACAGGAGCAGGAGGGGGGACGGCAGCAGGAGCGGCATCGGGGGTGGTGATGGGGAAGGAGGCGGAGGAGGCGTATGGGTTGCTGGAGAGGGTTGGGGAGGTGTGTCCGTACTGGGAAGTGCTGCTGTGCGCCAAGGCACGCGCTCTGCTGCTCGTGAGTGCCCTTGCGGGGGGACAAGGTGGGGGATGGAATGAGAGGCACAGTGGGAGGTGGAGTTGGGAGTGTTGGAGCATTTTGTTGGGTCTAGAGAGTTTTCCACCAAGTCGTCTTGCATGGCTCTCCCCTGGTGCATCCACTCTGTCATCCTTCTTGTACTCTCTCCATTCTCTTCACTCACCCTTGCGTGCACCTTTCTCCCGTGTCTCCTGTCTATCTGTCTGTCTGTCTGTCCGCCTGTTCGTCTGGCCGTATGTCTTGGCTGTCTGGCTGTGTGTGTGGGTATGAGTGTGTGGTAATGAGTGTGTGTGTCTGTGTGTGTGGGTGTGTGGCTGCATCTGTGGGTGCAGTTGAGCCGCTACGAGGACGCGTGCCATCTGTGTGAGAGCACGTTTTCCGCCTCGGAAAGCAACCACGCCGCACCCGCTGCTGCTGCTGCTGCACCAGGCGCCAGCAGCAGCAAGGGGCAGCAGGGGCACCTGGTGTGGCGCTGGGCAGTGGTGGGGCGGGCACGGTTTGGGCAGGGGCGACTGGAGGATGCGATCGAGCAGCTGTCGCGGCTGGATGGCTTGGGCCTGGATCCTGGGAGCAGTGCTGGGAATGCTGCTGGTAGTGCAGGAGGTGCGGGCGGGGGGGGTGGAGCAGCAGCAGGGCTGTACGCAGTTGCTGTGCCCGATACCACTGTGCCGTCTGACTTCACGCGGTCCATCCGGGAGATGCTCCGACTCAAGGTGTGTGCTTGCAACTTGCACTCTGCACCAAGCACCAAGCACCAAGCACCCCACCCTGCTTGCTGCACCGAGCACTGGCTGGGTAACACCTGTGAAAGGCCCTCCAGGTTCATGTGCCGCCGTGCCCCTCTTGCGCTGTGCATCGCCTTGCTAGCTGCTCCTTCCTGGTAGAGCGCCATTTGGTAAGTCACAGTGCCATCGTGCCCCTCTTGCGCCACATCTGCCCTTTGACAACCTGCACCGTTCCTGTCCGTCGTGGATCCAGATCCCTCGCTGCTCGTCTCCTCTCCTCACTTCTCCTCTCCGTTTCGCACTGCTCCTCCCTCTCCCCTCCTCTCCACCTGCCGTTGCTTCTCGGCGCCCTAATCCTTTCTTGCCATGGGCCACAGGCAGCAGGCAACGAGGCGTTCCAGGCGGGCAGGCACGAGGAGGCAGTGGAGCGATACACAGCAGCCATCACGCTGCCAGCGCTCGCTGCCTCGCGGCCCTTCTCCGCGGTGTGCTTCTGCAACCGTGCTGCTGCCAGCCATGCCGCGGGCAACATTGCAGATGCCATTGCGGACTGCAGCAGAGCCATTGCTCTCGACCCCTCCTATGCCAAGGTGCGCACGCCCGCGTGCTGTGTGAATGGGCAACGACGCGCCGTGCCGTCTCCTTTGTATGCGTTTAAACACTCTATTCTCCTCCTTGCATCATCACTTCGCCTTCTCTGCCCCGTCGTCTGTCCTCTGCCTATGCTATGTCTCCCACTTGCTATGTCCTCTATGTCTCCGCCTATGTCTGCACCTATCAACCATACATACTCCCCTCTACACTCACACTGCCCCTCTGTGCTACCTGAACGCCTCTCTGTGCTACCCGCATCCTCCCATCTTGCCTAACGACCGTCTGCCGTGTGCTATATCTCTCCGCAGGCCATCTGGCGGCGAGCCACGCTGTGGGAGAGCGCACGGGAGTACGAGCACGCACTGGCAGACCTGAACCGCCTGCTGCTGCTCGTACAAGGCAAGGCGTGCGCTGGTGGCGGTGGTGGCGGTGGTGGCAAGGGCGGGGGGAAGAGTGGGGTGGGCAACAGTGTGGTGGACGAGCGGCAGGTGAAGGAGCGCATGGGGCGCGTGCAGAAGGAGGTGCAGCACGAGCAGCAGCCCGACCACTACCTCATTCTGTACGGCCGGCCCCTCATTGCCACGCTTGCTTGCATGCATGCTTGCTTGCTTGCATGGCCGCTTGCACATTATTTGTTCAGCATTGGCCGTGGGGCTTAGCTTAGGCTTAATAAAGCAGCGGTGTGCGCCCTGAGTCTTGCTTGGTTGGTGGCCTCGTTTGTCTGATGGTGCTCATGCTCTTGCTCTCGTTGGACCCTTTGTGTGCGTGCGCCATGTGTGTGGGTGTGTGGCAGGGGCATGGACCATGCATGCACGGCAGCAGACGTCAAGAAGGCCTACCGCAAGGCAGCCTTACGCCACCATCCGGACAAGGTATTACCCTCCTCCTCTCCGTTCATTAGTGGATTGCTCCTGCTGTGCTGATGAGTGGATTGTCACGTACAGCCACCTTGTCCTGTGCCCTGTAGGCTCTTGTGTTCCGCCCATGCTGCCGTGTGCTCCCTGTGGCGGCCCGTGCCTAGCCCCACTTGTTCACCTACACGCGTTGCGTTGCTCCCCCTGTCCGTCCCTCCCCGCCTCTGCACTGCAGGCGGCGCAGCTTTTGTTTCCAGGGAGGGGTGACGCAGATGGGTGGCTGAGCAGGGAGCTGGGGGAGGAGATACAGCGCGATGCAGACCGGCTCTTCAAGGCCATCGCCCATGCCTACAATGTGCTCTCCGATGAAACCAAGGTTCTCTCTCTCTCTCTCCCGCCGCCACTCCTCCGAAATCCCTTGCCTCCTTCCCTCCTCTCCTCCTTATCCATCCTCCCTCCTCCGTTATCTAGTTCTGCAAACGCGTGTCTTCACAAACCACTTGTCCTGAGACATTTGACCCCCAGTTTGCCAGTATCTAACCTGATCCATTAATGTGCTATTGCTTTACTCACAGTATCTTCCTTGTGCCTACCTATATCTGGTTTTGTTTCTCTTTCTGCCATGTATTATTCCAGAGGATTGAGTACGATGCAGAGGAGCGGGTGCGCAAGATGCGCTCTCGGTACTCCTCAGCTTCAGCTGCCTCAGCCGCAGCCGCAGCTGCAGCCGCCGCAGCATCTGCTGCAGCAGATGAGGTGTTCGGGTCGACGTTTTACAGTGGGCGCGGCAGCAGCAGCTATAAGAACCGATGGGCCAATGAAAGCGCATGGGAGCGGCGTCAGGTGAGCTCCTTGTTAAACCCTTCGCCGTGCTTCCGTGCTTTGAGACGTGCTTCTCTGCGTGAGCTATATCGGAACACATCGCTCAACACTTTTTTCTGAAGTTCTGTCCTGCATCTTCTGTTCTGTAGTTTGCATCAACTTCACATGCCTTTGCGTGGTGCCTGTAACTGCCATTGCTGTTCATCAGGACTATTCCGGGGCTAATGCCCGCAGCAGTGCTTCAAGCCGTGGAGGAGCCACGGGTGATAAGGCAAGGCGAGGTAACCAGGACTCGAGCTCTCGGTCGCAGCAACAGCAACAGCAACCACACTGGAGTGAGCGGGCGTCAGGTGGTGGGAGCAGCCGGCGCAGCCAGAATAATGCATCACGGCATGCTGGTGGTGCTGCAGCCAATGGCGTTGGTGGTGGCAAGCGTGGCGAGAATGGCAAAGGGGGTTTTGGAAACAGGTGGGAGAGACGCCGAGATTGGGAGAGCGAAATGTATGATGACGACTACGAGAATGTGGACGACTATAGCTTTTATGATTACTGAGACAAACAATATGGATATGCTGTTGGTACTAGAAAGCCACGTTCCTGTTGGCTTCATTTTTTGTTGGAGGTTTATGCTCTCATCAGCTTGAATTACCTTATATAGGTTGTAGTTATTCATCGAGCACTTTTGTAACAGTTTTCCAGATTTCCAGTCGCGCTTTTTTGTGTGCTGTGCTGGAAGTCAAGACACGTGGGTCACTTGAACGCCACGTCACCGTGGTCCCACGCATGCACCGCCGAAACTGCTCTGTGGACCCACAAAAGGTTAAAATAATATCTTGTCCAAAAGTTGAACACAATCGCTTTCTCCGCGTCGGGTTTCCAGCGAATTCGCCCGGTGCATGGCGTCATTTCAATAAACGCGACCGTTTTTCAATCCCTGGGTTCAGGGGTCGGCTCCTCCCATCCAGCATGATCAAATGAGGGGAAGTTACCCCCCACAGACCGGTTGCCAAAGCTGACATACCCACCTAGTGGTGTCTTTGCTGGCGCAACAGCAGTCTGAAATATCTGTCGGGAGATTTGCTCCATTCCAACCAAAGCAAACTCATCCACATGCGTGGAATGGCTCTGCTGCAACTCTCTTCCACCTCGCCTTGCTGTGACTGCCGTGCGCAAATCAACACAGTGCATTGTAACATCCCGTGAGCTCCCCAAGACGGTGGAGAATTGGCGCGATCAAGCGGGTTGCGATCGAGCATGCGCGCTCAACTCGCGCCCATTTTCCACACCGAATCTACCTCCGCGATCCTTAGCGCTTCGACCAATCGCAACGGTTTATCCGCGACATCCTCCGCTAGTAGGCGTCCCGTTATAGGAGTATCGCGACGTGCGTTGCGACCCGTGAGCGTCAGCAGGCAGCGAGTGGTGTGCGAAATGTCCGACGCGCTGGTAAACGGCTTGGCGGGGGCGTGCGGCGGAATTCTCGCGCAACTCGTCACCTACCCGCTGCAAGCGGTGCGTTCTTTGGAGCCTCGCAGCTCCATCCGACGTTTGTTTGGTCTCGCGGGCTACAATCTGCGCAAATTCAAGCCCTAGCTTGCCCAGCCCAGTATCGCAACCGCTCATTTCGCACCTTTTCGTACGTCTGAATGCGTTTCGGCTAGCAATTTCACAAAATCCCGACGGTTGTGTTTCGTGCGTGGTGGTGCCGTGGGTGTGGTTTGGCAGGTGAACACGCGGCAGCAGACGCAACGACGGTTGCTAGCGAGGCAGCAGCGAGACGCCGCGCATGGCGCCGGCGAAAGCGGCGCTCCGAGTGCGAACGGCGCTGCTGCGGCCGGGACGGGTCAACGGCGCGCTGTGGCGCACAAGAGCACGCAGCAGGAGATGTGGGAGGTGATTTCGCCCCTTCACGCCCGCAATTCCCCCTTTTCTGACTATCTGCACACCTCCTACGCTTACCACGCGCATCGTCTCAGTCCAACCCTCTCACATCTCATCCCCCACCCCTCCACCGCGCACGCGCTTGCCACTCTTCCGCGTTTCCTGTGCGGCGCGCGCAGATATTCCAGCGGGAGGGCTTGGCGGGCTTGTACCGGGGGCTGGAGCCATCTCTCGTGGGCACCGCATGCTCGCAGGTGCGCCTCCCTTACGCCCGTCCCCCCGCTCCTGCCCCCTTCTCCCCCCTTCGCACCCTTCCCATCCGGTCCCTGTCACTCCTCTCCTACTCCCCAAGGTAACGCCTTTCCCGTTCTCCGCTTCTCACCTCCCACCCACCCTATTCCTTCTCTTCCTTCCCCTTCTCCCCTCTCCCCCCATCCTCCTTTCCCCCGGGGTGCGCGCAGGGCGTGTACTATTTCTTCTACCAGCTATTCCGCAGCCACGTGGAGCAGCTAGCGGCGGTGCGCAAGGCGCAGGGCGTGGGCAGCGGGCAGGTCACCATGATCACATCGCTGCTCGTTGCTGCACTTGCCGGGTGCGTCCCCTGCTGCTGCTGCTGCTGCTGCTGCTGCTGCTGCTGCTGCTGCTGCTCGCGTCGTTCTGTGCGACCTCTTCTGCCCTACCCTCACTAACACACCGCATTCTGGCTCCTCCTTTTTGCGCTTCTCCCCGTGCTCCCCTGCTTGTGTGTGTGCATGCGTGTGCATGTGCATGTGTGTGTGTGTGTGTGTGTGTGTGTGCATGTGTGTGCATGTGCATGTGCATGTGTGTGCATGTGTGTGCATGTGCATGTGTGTGTGCATGTGCATGTGTGTGCATGTGTGTGCATGTGTGTGTGTGCATGTGCATGTGTGCATGTGTGTGCATGTGTGTGCATGTGTGTGTGTGCATGTGCATGTGTGTGCATGTGTGTGCATGTGTGTGCATGTGCATGTGCATGTGTGTGTGCATGTGCATGTGTGTGCATGTATGTGCATGTGTGTGCATGTGTGTGCATGTGTGTGCATGTGCATGTGCATGTGTGTGTGCATGTGCATGTGTGTGCATGGCACCAGGTCAGTGAACGTGCTACTGACCAACCCCATCTGGGTCATCGTCACTCGCATGCAGGTGTGCTGCCTACATCACCTTCCCCGTCCCATCACCTTCCCCGTCCCATCACCTTCCCCTCCACCTTCCCCTCCACCTTCCCCTCCACCTTCCTCTCCCCTTCCCCTTCCCCTTCCACTTCCTTTTCCCCTTCCCCTTCCCCTTCCTCTTCCCCTTCCCCTTGCCCTTACCCTTCCCCTTCCCTTTCGCCCTTCACTTTGCTTTCCCTTCCCGTTTCCCTTCCAGAAACCTTCCATTGTGCCTCGTCTTTCCAGTTACCCTGCAAATGTCCCTCCCACTACTGGTTCAACGCCTCTCCCCTCCCTCCCTCCCTTCCTCCCTCTTTTTTTTTTTGTTTTTTGTTTTTTTTTTTTCTCTCTCTCTCTCTCTCTCAATCTGCCCACCCTCACACCTCACGCTTTCCCCCTGTGTTCCGCACCACCCCTCGCTGTCGCCTCTCATCCATCCCTTGCGGCCCGCCAGACCCAGACGCAGGGCCTGCCGCCTCCCATCTACATCGCTCGTCGCCCAGTCTCCTCCCAGCCCGCCAGTGCATCACCGCCCACACATGCTGCTGACGCTGCTGCAGGCGCTGCGAGTGGTGATACCCGGGGCAAGGAGGCCGCAGTGGCACAGCGGTCAGAGGGAGTGGGCGGGGGGGGAGGGACGCTGGTGAAGAGAACCACAGCAGCAGGCGCAGAGAGGGGTGCAGGGGGTGTTGTGTCGGGACCAGGCTCGGGCACGTGTGATGCCACAGGCGGGGGTGGCAGTGGCAGTGGTGGTGACTGGGGGGGAGGGGCAAGCGGAGGAGGAGGCGGAGGAGGAGGAGGAGGAGGAGGAGGAGGAGGAGGAGGAGGAGGAGGAGGAGGAGGAGGAGGAGGAGGAGGAGGAGGTGGGGGGAGAGGTGGCGGCGGAGGCAGTGGGAAGGGCGGAGGAGGGGGTGGAGGGAGGTGGGGCGAGGAGGGGAGTGGGGAGGGGCCGCTGCGGGCGCCGGGAGGTGGAGGGCAGCAGCTGGTGGGGCGACCTCATGGCGTGCTGGAGACGGTAGGTGCTTTGGTGTGATGTGCTGTGCTGTGATGTGATGTGAGCCAAGATATGCCTCATGCGGGTGGCCATGGGGGAGGGATGTGCTGGTGGTTATGAGGGCAGGGCATGCGTTAGCAGCACTAGAGCTGGATGGAAAGCACATTGGGGCTCACTCTTATCTTCATGCTTTCGCCTTGCCTCTCATTCTCTCCGTGCTTGCTCGTGATCATGTGCGCATGTGTGTGTGTGTGTGTGTGTGTGTGTGTGTGTGTGTGTGTGTGTGTGTGTGTGTACATGTGTGTGCATGTGTGTGGTTGCATGTGTGCACACGCGTGCGTGTGTGCGTGGCAGATATGGGAGCTATTTGAGGAAGCGGGCATTCTGGGATTCTGGAAGGGAGTCTTTCCAACTCTCCTCATGGCAAGTCCACCTCTCTCCGCCTTCCCAATCTTCCAGATCTCCTCAACTTCACTCTCTTGCCCTTTCACCTGGTTTCTGATCCACACCCGGTCGCCCCCGTTCTTCTCCCCCGCCCGCTGCCTCATGCGCGTGCACATCGCAGCACACCCCCCCGCACCCCCCCTCCTCCTTCCCACTGCATCTGTCTCATGCACCACCCGGTGTCTCCCCCTGAATGCCATGTGCACGCCATGTGCACGCCATGTGCACGGATGCCATGCCATGTGTTTGCCCTCCCTCTTCCCCTCCCCCCCACCAGGTGACCAACCCTGCCATCCAGTTCATGATCTACGAGACACTGCTGGCGCGCATCACAGCAGCGCGCCCCGCTGCCAGGGGAGGGGCCAAGTCCGCCACCTCCACTGAGGTCCGTGCTGCCGCTGCTGCTCGCTGCTTCCGTTACTTCTCCTTGCATCTCCCTGCTTCCTGCCGATCAATCACACGACGTCTGCTGTGGTGCCGTCAGTGAGATGTGCTGGCTGTGGGTGGCCCGTGTGCCAACAGTCCCATCGGCAGGTGTGGGTGGGTCGTGAAGAGTGCGATTGTTGAGTCGCCTCAACAGTCCCCTTTCATCTCATCGGCGAGTGTGGGGCGTGGAACAAGCGGCCTCATCTCGTGCTGCCCCTCGTGCATACCGTGTGCTCTGCCCCCCACTCCCCCTGAGAGCAGATCTTTCTGGTGGGAGCGCTGGCCAAGATAGGAGCCACGCTCGCCACGTACCCTATGCTTGTCGTCAAGGTGAGCGTGAGGGCGAGGGGGAGGGTGGGGGTGGGGGTGAGGGTGGGGGTGAGGGTGGGGGTGAGGGTGAGGGTGAGGGTGCGGGTGCGGGTGGGGGTGAGGGGGAGGGGAAGGGTGAGGGGGAGGGGGAGGGTGAGGGTGAGGGTAAGGGCTGGCTGCCTGCACACAGAGCAGTACCAGAGGCACAGGGAGTTTCTAGGAGGTTAAGTGGGGATAGGCATTATGGATGCATGTTGTTGAAGTGGGGCGATGCAAGGAAGGTCAGAAGTGTGGGACGGGCCTGAGATTTTGCAGAGTGGGTGGATCTAACGTATTTGTTGCTTCAAGGTGTTAATGAGCTTTTTGTGCCTCACTCACGCATCTCTCCCCTTTCACCATCTTGAATATCACGTTTCAGAATTCCCCACCCCCCCACACACGCCCCTTCCGTTCTCGCCCCATGCCCTGGTTCGCTCATTTCTCTCTCTCTCTCTTGCTTCCTCTCCCACCTTCGCTCTTCGTGCACGTGCAGTCGCGCCTGCAAGCACGCCATGCAGCAGGCCAACGCTACTCAGGTGGGTGTGTGTGTGTGTGTGTGTGTGTGTGTGTGTGTGTGTGTGTGTTTGTGTGTGTTTGTGTGTGTTTGTGTGTGTTTGTGTGTGTTTGTGTGTGTGTGTGTGTGTGTGTGTTTGTGTGTGTGTGTGTGTGTGTGCGCGCGCGCACGCCTCTCTACTCTACTCCCTGCCCTCTCTCGTCCACCGCACTTGCTTTTCCAGCATGATGCCTGTCAATCACCCCTGCTGCTCCTCTTCATCTGTCGTCGCTGATCCCCCCTCCCAACCCCTCCCAACATCTTCCTCCACCCCATTATCACCACTCACCACCTTCTTCGCCCACATTTCCCCCCTCCCGTCCTCCACTCCCCCTCTTCCCCCTTGCCCCTCCCAACCCTCCGCGTCATCACCCTCTAACACAGGCATGTGGGACGCGATATTCAAGATAGTGCGGCAGGAGGGCGTGAGGGGGTTCTACCACGGGATGGGCACCAAGATGGCGCAGAGCGTGTTTGCGGCCTCGCTGCTCTTCCTCACCAAGGAGGAGATCGTCAAGGCTGTGCGCCTCGTGCTCGACCGCCGCTCCCGCCTCCTGCTGCAGCCCGCCCAGAGACGCGCCAGGGCCGTGTGATTAGCGGTGCAGGGGTGGAGGGGTGGAGGGTTGGAGGGTTGGAGGAAGAGGGAGTGGGGCGTGGAAGGGTTGTGGAGGAGAGTGGGGAAGTGGAGGGGTGGGGGGAGTGGTGAAGTGTGGGCAGTTGGGTCGGTGGCGGATGAAGGGAGGTTTTGGTGTGAGGTGTGAGGAGCAGGATGGGGGGCGGTGGCTTGGAAGACAGGCTGTAGTCTGTAGTCTGTACTACGCCGTGCATTTGGGGTTGTTGAGCAGGGGTCACCTCGCCGCGCGTGTGTGACACGGCACACATCTGCTCTGCAGCCATTTCTAGTGCGGCGTGCGGAGGCAAAGCAATTGGGTGACAATTGGGGTGATTGAGTACGGTAGCAATGCGGTACTGGTACCGGTAGTACGGTAACATGGTAATTTCCATGCATGGCAAGGCAGGGCGGGGCGGGGCAGGGCAGGGCAGGTAACTGCACACGGTCTACATTGGGCTGTGAGATTCCGTTGTGATCCTTTGCCCACATACGGTACGTACATACCTGCCTTGACAGGCAGCCACCAGCACATGCTGTGCTGGGACAGCTCTGCTGCTTGTGCTTTTCAACTGGCATAGGCCAGCAGCTTTTTTACCAACACGAGAGCGCGAGCATGCATGCCACACACTCTAGATTGTAATGATTTGAGTTGATGTCTCCAATGATGACAACACATGTCATGTTCAGAGAAATGTAACTAATCATCATATGTAAGGAGGGAGAAGGTGGTATGGAGGGACAGGTATTGCTTCCCATCCCGATGCCGCATGTGAAAGCTAGACATGCCAAGGCAAGGCAAACTCCACCTTTTGTGCTTCTTCCACACAGCCTCAAGCAAAAATTGTCAAATATTATAGCCTGTAGTGGGTTGGGCTATATGGGGTACAACTAGTTAGGGTTAGGTTATGTACCCCAATTCTGTCAATGCAACACATTCCGCTGTAGTTCTCATTCTGACATGGTATCAGCAGTAGGTTAGCGCTCCTAGCTCTAGGCCCACCCGTCCCTACCACTACAGTTACCACTGCGCCCCGCCAGCCCGCCAGCGCCCTACCCCACGCCCCAGCCGGCGCGCCCCTCCCCTCCACACCCTTAGCCAGCGCGCCCGCCAGCCAGCCAGCACGCCAGCGAGCCAGCCCGCCAGCCAGCCAGTGCGCCAGCCAGCCCGCGCGCCAGCCCGCTTGCACGCCAGCCCGCCAGCGCGCCCGCCAGCGGGCGCACCAGCGAGCCCGCCAGCTCGCCTGCCAGCGCGCCCGCCAGCGAGCTCGCCAGCGCGCCCGCCAGCGAGCCCGCCAGCGCGCCCGCCAGCACGCACGCCAGCGCGCCCGCTAGCGCGCCCGCCAGCGCGCCGCGCCAGCGGGCCTCGCCAGCGCGCACGCCAGCGCGCCGCGCCCGCCAGCGCGCGCCCTGCCTAGCCGCCCGCCAGCGCGCCGCGCCCGCGCGCCACGCCAGCCAGCGCGCCACGCCGGAGCGCGCCCCGCCAGCGCGCGCCCCGCCAGCGCGCGCCCCGCCGCCCCGCGCCCAGCCAGAACGCGCCCCGCCTGCGCGCACCCGCCTCGCACTCACCTCCCTCTCCTCCTCCTCTCGCGGCTGGCGGCCGCTATCGCTTGTTCTCGCCCCTCATGGCGACGTCTCGCGTGCTCCGTTTCGACCCTGAGGGGCGCGCGATCGACTTTAGTACCTGGCTGACGCAGGCCCAGCGCCACCTTAGGAGCCAGCGCCAGGATGGCGTGCACCTGTTTGCGCACGCGTCCGGTGCTCTGCCCGCCCCGCCGCAGCCTACACCGCTGCCCACTACCCCACCGCCTACTTCCGAGCAGGAGGCTGAGTACCAGCGCCGGTTCCTCGCTCGTGACGTGTGGGAGTCTCGTGACGCTGCTGCCTGCCTCGCCCTGACCGACCTTCTCCCGCCGACTGAGGCCGTCCACTTCACTCAGGTCGAGTCTGCTGCAGACCTTTACACTGCTATTGTTGCTCGCTACTCCACTCCCTCCTCTGCCTCCCTCAGCCGCCTCCTCGTCCCCTTTATCTACCCTGACCTCGCCTCCTTTGAGACTGTCGCTGACCTCGCTACCCACCTGCGCTCCCTTGAAGCTCGCTTCAAGGCCGCTTGCACTGAGGAACAGCTTGCCCTTGCACCCCCCCCCATGTGGCTCACTATTCACTGGTTAGTCACTCGCCTCCCTGACCGTCTAGCCACAGCCCGCGACGCGCTTCTCCTGAAGCACCCCACTGAGCTTACTATCGATCTTCTTGAGACCGCTCTCTCGAAGATCGAGAGTAACCTCCTCGCTGTTGCCTCCGCCTCTTCCGCGCCTCCTCCTCGTCTCTTTGAGGGGTGTGCGGTACCACAGCTTCCCACCTTCACTGCCTCGCTTGCCACTGCCGCGTCTTCTGCCTCTGAGGAGACGGCGGCCGTTTCTGTCTCTGGCGGACAGAAACGTGGCAAGTCCGGCAAGAAGGGAGGGAAGGGCGGCGGGGGTTCTGGGGGTGTTGCGGGTGGCGGCGGTGGCGGTAGTACTAGTGGCGGGGGTGGCGGCGGGGGTGACTCGGGACCTGACGGCTCTCCTCTAGACGGTGGTGAGGGGTTTCCGCAGCAGCAGCAGCAGACTCCTCCGCAGCTGCCACCGCCTGGACAGCAGCAGCGGCAGGGACAGCAGCAGCAGCGCCAGGGCCAGCAGCAGCGTCCGCCTCAGCAGCAGCCCCAGCAGTGGGGCACTCAGCAGCAGTGGGGCACTCAGCAGCAGTGGGGCCCTTCGCAGCAGTGGGGCCCCCCGCAGCAGTGGAGACCTACGGGCCCCCCGAGCACTGGGCGCAGTGGTGCCCCTTCTAGTCGGGGACCCCGCTCGGCCGGCCGCGACGTTGGTCCCTGTGAGTACTGGATCCTGACGGGTCCGCGCAGGGGCACGTACTGCGGCCGCCCTGACCACTCTGCTGCACGCTGCTTCAGCCGTCTCGACGACCTGTACGTCCTGCACCACGGCCCCTCCGCTCCCCCGCCACCGCGCTGGGGACCACTCCTTGCTCGTGGTGTTGCTGTGTTTGATATGTCTATGGATGATGCTAGGTCTTATGCGATGTATGCTGATGTTGACTATAGTGCTGCTGGATCTGTTTACTTGCCTGTACCTAGCGTAGGATCTTTGCCTGTTGCTAGAGTAGGTGCTGGTGTAGGATCCTGTCTAGCTACTAGTACAGGTGCTCCCTCGGCGGACGCGTCGCTCTCCTTCACACTGGACTCCGGAGCGACGCAGTGCTTCTTCCGCGACAGCACGACTCTTACTCCACTCTCGGCGCCGGTTTCTGTAGCACTGGCCGATCCCTCTTCGGGACCGGTCATTGCGACTCACGCCACTACCCTCCCGTGCCCAGCTGCCCCTTCCGGTTCTCTGACCGGCCTCCACGTTCCTACTTTCTCTAGGAACCTGGTTGGTGTGGCTCCTCTGGCGAGACAGCACGTCGGGGTCTGGTTTGAGCCTTCTGGTGACACTGCAGTCTGTGTGGACGGTGACACGTACGCCCCTCTGGCCACTTTTCGTCAGGAGCCGGGCTCTGGTCTGTACACCCTCCACACCGACACCCGTCCGGTTCCCCCGTCCCACCAGGTAGCCAGGTCCAGTCAGGTAGCTGTGCCAGGTCTAGTGGCTGCGTCGTGCTCGTGTCGGTCGCTGTCCCACCCTGTCCTCCTCTGGCACCACCGCCTTGGTCACCCGTCCCTCTCTCGTCTCCGCGCTATGTCCAGTCAGCGTCTTGTCTTAGGCCTCCCCCGCGACCTCCCGCCGCTCCCGCCGTCCCCCGCTCCTCCGTGCGGTCCTTGTGTCCAGGGTCGGCTGCGCGCCACTCCTCACTCCTCCTCCCTTCGTCCAGCCTCCGAGCCCTTTGAGACACTCCACTTAGACGTCTGGGGCCCCGCTTCCCGGCTTGGACCTGAGCGAGAGAGCTTCTTTCTAGTGGTCGTTGACGACTACTCTCGGTACACCACCGTGTTCCCTTTGGCGAAGAAGTCCGACGTGACTTCTACGCTGATCCGGTGGCTGCTCGCCACCGAGAGTACTCGTCGTCGTCGTGTCAGTTGTCTCCACTCCGACCGTGGGGGTGAGTTTCGCTCCGGCATTCTCGCCAGATTCTGTGCTGAGCAGGGCATCACCCAGTCCTGGACTCTTCCAGACTCTCCACAGCAGAATGGGGTTGCTGAGCGCCGGCTAGGCCTGGTCATGGAGATTGCCCGCACCTCCATGATCCACGCCCGCGCGCCCCATTTTCTGTGGCCCTACGCGGCTCGGTACGCCGCTCACCAGCTGAACCTCTGGCCTCGCGTCTCTCGGCCAGGGGCTTCACCGACCAGTCTTTGGACAGGGTCCCCTGGTGTTGCGTCAAGGTTTCGTGTCTGGGGCTGCTTGGCGCTTGTCCGCGACACCTCTGCGGACAAGCTCTCACCTCGCGGCGTCCCCTGTGTCTTCCTTGGTTTCCCTGAGGCCTCCTCTGACTTCACCTTTTACCACCCTCCCTCCCACCGGTTCTTTGACTCTCGTGACGTCAGTTTCGACGAGTCCGTCCCCTACTACGTCCGGTACCCCTGTCGAGGTCTCCCGGTTCCCCCCCCTCCCCTCTTCCTCGCCCCAGCTCCTCCTCCTCCCGCTCCCTCTCCTCCGGTACCCCCCCCGGTTCCCGCTCCGTCAGGTGTGTCACAGGCTACCCCCCCTCCCTCGGTACCCCCCCAGGTCTCTCCTCCTTCCCCACAGTCGTCCTCACAGCCTCCAGAGCAGCCGTCGGCGCTTCCTCTCCCGGCCACTGCGGACTCTGAGGGTGTTGGTGTTTGAGGTGAGGGCTCTGGCGGTGCCGGTTCTGGGGGTGTTGGAGTTGGAGCTGAGCGTGCACCTGCCGCAGCTGCACGTCCCGAGCGTGTTGGAGTCGGTGGTGGTGCTGGAGCTGGTCGTGTTTCTGGAGCTGGAGAGTCTGGGGCTGGTGCTGGTGCCACTGGGCGCACCACGACTGGGGGTGCGGGTTTGCCTTCCACAGGTGCTGGTCGTGCTGCAGCGGGGGGCACTCGCTCTGGGGGTGCTCAGCCGGGCGCTGTCGAGGGTGGAGCCGGTTCTTCGTCTTCCTCTCCTGACCTCACTCCTCCTCCTCACTCCTACCCGACTCGACACCAGGCCCGTCTTCGTCTTGAGCGTGAGGAGCAGCAGCGTTTGGAGCGCGAGAGGTTGGAGGTTCAGCAGCGGGTGGAGCGTGAGAGGTTGGAGTTGCAGCGGGAGCAGCAGCAGCAGCAGCCGGAGCAGTCTCCGGCCCCTGTTTCTGGCCTTCGGGCCCTTGGTCTCCCCTCCTCTCCTCCTGTGTTTGGTCCTACGTTTCCTCCTCCGGACTCAGCTCCGGCTGTGTTCCCTCGTTCTCGCTCTCCCCCCTCTCCCTCTCCACTTGCCCACACTTGGGCTCCTCGTTCTCCTCGTGCTCGTCCCTCGTCCCCCGTCACTGACCTCCGTGCCGCCTTGTTTCACCCTAGCCCTCCTCGTTCTCCTCCGTCTGTTCTCCCTCGTCCTCCGGAGTCGTCCCTCACTGCCGCCCTGTCCACTCCTGTCACTGACTACTACCGCACTTACCGTCCCACTCTCTCTCGCGTTCTCGCCTCTCTTGTTACAGACCCTCGTGCCTCTCCTTCCTCTGTCGCAGTCCTCACTGCCGCTGTCACTGACTTTACTGCCACGCGTCGCCTTGACTACGCCACTCGTGTTGTGGCAGCTCCTCCTGTCCGTCCTCTGTCCGCCGGGGGTGTGTCTGCCCTTGGCTGTGACGTCCTAGAGGACAGACAGTTTGAGCTAGAGTTCCTAGCAGCCGCTTCGCCTCATCTCTGTGCCATGCTCCTTGCTCCTGAGGGTGACCCCGACGCTCCTGACATACCTACTCCTCGCACTTACGCTGAGGCAGTGTCAGGGCCTTGGGCCTCTCAGTGGCGAGCTGCCATGGACGCAGAGATGGCCTCCTACAGGTCCACAGGCACTTACGTTGACGACGTTCCCCCACCAGGGGCGAACATAGTCGACGGCATGTGGATCTTCAAGGTGAAGCGGCCGCCGGGATCTCCCCCAGTCTTCAAGGCACGTTACGTGGCTAGAGGGTTTAGTCAGCGCGAGGGGGTTGACTTCTTTCAGACCTTTGCGCCCACCCCGAAGATGACCACTCTTCGGGTGTTGCTTCACGTAGCGGCGCAGAGAGACTACGAGCTACACTCCCTCGACTTCTCCACAGCGTTCCTGCAGGGCCGCCTACACGAGGAGATCTGGCTGCGTCGTCCTCCGGGCTTCACTGGCACCTTCCCGCCTGGGACCCAGTGGAGCCTCAGACGACCGGTCTACGGTCTCCGCCAGGCACCCCGCGAGTGGCACGACACTCTTCGTTCTACTCTTTCCGACCTTGGTTTTCAGCCGTCCTCCGCCGACCCGTCGCTGTTTGTTCGTCGTGGGCGCACACCTTTCTTTGTTCTGGTCTACGTTGACGACTTGGTCTTCGCCACAGCCGACACTGTTGCACTGGCGGAGGTGAAGTCCGAACTACAGAAGAGACACACCTGCACTGACCTTGGGGAACTGCGCCGCTACCTTGGCTTGCAGATCTCCAGGGACAGAGCCGCTCGCACCATCACTCTGACTCAGTCACACATGGTGCAGCAGGTCCTTCAGCGGTTCGGGCTTCAGCACTCCTCTCCCACACCCACTCCTCTTGCTGTAGACCACAGACTCACTGGGCCTTTTCCTGACGAGCCGTTCGAGCCCAGTGGTCCCTACGCAGAGCTGGTGGGCTGCCTCATGTACCTGATGACGTGCACTCGCCCGGACCTCGCCTTCCCTCTTAGCATCCTTTCTCGCTTTGTTGCGACAGGGAGACACCGTCCTGTTCACTGGACGGCGGCTAAGAGGGTGGCGAAGTACCTGGCCACGACGTCAGACATGGGGCTTGTACTTGGAGGGACTCAGCCAGTTGTTCTCACCGGTCACTGTGACTCCTCGTACGCTGACGACGCTGAGACTCAGAGGTCTACACAGGGTTACTGTTTCAGTCTGGGTTCTGGAGCTGTTTCGTGGAGGTCTACTCGGTCCTCCTCTGTTGCGACTTCTACCGCAGAGGCCGAGATCTACGCTGGAGCCCTTGCTGCACAGGAGCTGCGCTGGTTGACCTTCTTGCTCACTGACCTTGGCGAGCGGCCGAGCTCTGCACCGACCTTGTTTGCTGACAACAAGGCGATGATTCTCCTGTGTCGTGAGCCGCGACTGGAGAGCAGAGTGAAGCACATTGACGTCAGGTACTTCCTCCTTCGAGAGTTGCAGAGACGCGGACAGGCTCGTCTGGACTTTGTGGCCTCCGAGGCCAACACTGCAGACATCTTCACCAAGGCCCTCCAGCCTTGTGACCACCGCCGGTTTTGTCTGCAGTTAGGCCTCGTTGAGACTGGGTCTAGTTGACTGCTGTAGGGTGCTCTTTGTCTGTTGCTTGCTTGTACCTTATATATATTTGTTTGCACACTTTTGGACTGGCCTTGTGGCCCTTTGCTTGTGCTCAGATTAGGTGGTGACGTTGTGATCCACCCTGAGCTTTGTTTTCTTTCTCTTGCTTTTGACTGGTCTTGTGACCGTAGGTTGCTTGTTGTTGATTGGCCTTCCCCACTTAGGCTATGGGGGTGTGTCAAATATTATAGCCTGTAGTGGGTTGGGCTATATGGGGTACAACTAGTTAGGGTTAGGTTATGTACCCCAATTCTGTCAATGCAACACATTCCGCTGTAGTGGAACTGAGCCTCATACTTGGATCATGCTCCCGTGATCTGCTACCTAAGGAGGATATAGAAACGTCCATTCATTCCTTCTAGAGTATCTAAGCACCCGTAGTTTGTTTTCCTTGCCTAAAACAAGCACCAATAAAAAGGGTCAATGAAAAAGTAGTAAATGGTCAGCCACAATGGCTGAAAACAGCAGGGTAAGCAAGCAGAGAGGGTTATGTATCACAGTACATGTGCCTCTCCACATGCATGGCTGCTCGGTGGCTGCAGCAAGCTGGCAGCAAAGAATGTTAATGAGGGATAGGAAACAAGAGTAAGTGCATGTGACCAGTGCAATGTGAGGGAGCGGACCAGAGGCATGCCATGCATCCCTGAGAAACGAACAGCAACCACCTTCACTCATGCGACGGCGTCTTGTGTCGCAACACGAAGCTGTGGTGTGCCATTCAGGTGCGCTGCCATGCACCGCACGGCGGGGGTAGGCCCGACGAGCCGTGAGAGCTTGCGGTAACAGCAACACAGCACGCACTTGGTTGGTGCCACACATGGCTGGTTGGATTGCCCAACCGGGCCCCACTCCTGCCCCTAAATACTCTTATTGTCAGAATTTAGTGCTAAAGCTGAAAGACAGTTCCCATGCCGACCCCATCCCAATCCCCATCCCAATCGCCCAAATTCATTCCTCATCCCAATTTCTGATGCAGTGCTTCCATGCCACTGACTTGACACCAACATGTGTTACCCAATCAGCCGCATCCTCTTGCGGCCTACACCACCCTCTCCCCTCTCCTCGCTCCTCTCCTCATCTGCCTCTTCTTCCATTCCCCTGCCCACTCGCTCCTGCCCTGATGCATATCCACCGCCCACTTCTGCCCTTGGTCCAGGCTCCAAATCCCCCCTCGTGGCGCACGCACGCACATGCATGCCCATGCTTTGCCCATCATGGCTCATGAGAGGAGGCAATACACGCTTCTGGGACGGGCATGTGACTGCCACCACCCTGCCACTGCCCTCATCGCTGCCCCTCTCTTGCCACTGCTCCTGCTCCGCCTTCACATCCTTAACCCCTGCTACTAACAAGCCCAGTTTCTCTCCATTGCCATCGCATGGCGCCTGCATTCCCTTCTCCCCCGCTTCATGCCCCGCGTCCTCCTGCTGCAGCGACAGAAACGACTCGACCTGAAGCAGCTCCGCCTCCTCTGCTGCTGCTGCTGAAGCGGCTGCAGCTGCTGCTGCATCGCCAGGAGCTGCTGGCCCCTCCGCATGCAGCATACCTTGAGGCTTGAACTCACCGCCATCCCTGTCCATGCGCACAGCTGGAACTGCCTCTCCCCTCTCCCTCCCACCGCTCCACGTTGCAGCAGCTCCTCCGGGCTTCACGTCCCCGCCCTCCTCTACCTTGGCCACACAGCCCGGGCCTCTCAGTTGCAGGCGCGCGGACGCAGCAGAGGAGGCGCGCAGGGGGGTGGCAGGCAGGCGGAACTGGTGTGGTGCAGGGGGGGGCTTCAAGGGCTCTCTTCCTCCAACGGGCGATGCTGCTGCTGCTGCTGCTGCTACGGGGCCAGCAGAGGCCGCGAGGGCATGGTGAGCATCCGCGGAGGCGGGCTTGGTGGAGGTGGTATCTGGATGTGGCTTGGAGGATGGTAAGGGGCAGGCTGCAGCAGGAACATGAAGGCGATCGTGTGCAGCAGGGGGGTCTGGCGCTTGGGAATGGGAGTGAGCCGCAGGCGTGGCAGAGATGGTGGGTGATGGGCTGGCATGTTCCGGCAGGTGCGACAGGTCCAATCTGCATGCACGATGCAGAGAGGGGGAAGATGAGGAAGACAAACAGGCTGTTAATTCGAGAGACGAGAACATGGCAACGGCATGAAATTGAAAATAAACGAGGCAGTGCAGAACAACTGAAGCATCATGTATTCACAGGTTCACTCAGCAGTATCAAAACAGCATGCACACAGACCCGCAGCAAGGCATTGCAAGGACTATATATATCTTACGCTGAAGGCACGCGGCCGGACAGCACGCGGGAGGAGTCAACAGGGGAGGGCGAGAAGGGCAGGCTGCGGCGCGCTGCAGACGAGTGCAGAGGCGATGCGGCGGGCGGGTGCCAGCGAAGGGGGGTGGCAGCGGGGGAGGGAGAGTGTGTGCGCAGAGCACGGTCGTGACTGCGGTCCGCATCAGACAGGAGCGCTGCCACATCTGCACACATGGGGAACAACGGGCCAGAGAGCACACAGTCCAGCATTGTTCCAAGAAACAGGTAAACAAGGAACACGAAACAAGGAGCTGTGAGAGAGGGGGTGGTGCTGCATGGATACTCGGAGACGCGAGACGCGGGGGACAGGAGAAAGAGCATACCTCCGCTGCGACCGTGGGGATTCTGGCACGATGCACATCTGCAGCCAGCTGTGCAGCCCACTCCAGCCTGCGCCCATGCACACAGCAAGGGAGAGCGAGGGAACAGAGATGAGAGTGATGTTGACACAGGAAGGAACACTGGGTGGAGCAGAGACAAGGATTGGCGCCAGTTGCGATTGCATCTGCGAAAGCAGGAGAGAGAGTACAAGCGGCAATGGATTCCACAAACCAATGTGCCGCTTGAGAGGCGAGCCAATTGCGAGGTGAGATGAGTGGAGCAGGGTGTGAGAAGGGCAATTACCTGGTAGCACTCGCAGTACTTTTTGGTGCACATGGAGCGGCGGCAGTTGCACCCCGTCTTGTGCCGCGGGGCCTTAGGAGGCGCTGCTGGCAGTGGTGATGCAGCAGACACGGGCGCCTGGCACAGCAGCGAGTGACCACGGGGGGAGAGTGAAGCAAGCAGGGAAGATACTAAGTTTGAGAGGCTATAGGATTAAAATGCAGGCAGGAGAGCAACGTAAAGGGAAGGGGGCCGGAGGGCGAGTCATGTGGGTGGGGTAAAAAGGGAAGGGTAAAAATTGGAGCACCAACCTTGGGTCGTGAAAGGGATGATGCAGGGCCAACTGCAGGGGCAGTGATGATCTTGGGTTGGAAGGCTGTGGGGTTCCGAGCCTGAATGGCTGCCCGTGTGGCAAGCACCAGGGATTCGTACTGAGGCGTGTTCTGGCACTCGTTGCAGCGGCATGCGTCCCCGCAATACACATTTGCCCGAAAGCACTCACAGTAGCTGTCACAGAACCAGGGATGGCAACGAGGGTATGTGAGAGCGAGTGACGGAATCCACTTGGGTGCAGGCAGGAAAGCAGGAGCATTGAATTGGAGGAAGCGAGAAAGGAAAAGAGGCAGCGGGTGTGGCTCACAGTTTAAGGCAGCGAGACTTCTTGCAGCTGCAACGCCTGCAGCCCTCGCTGGGAGGTGGAGTGGCGGACGCACTGTGAGCACAGTAAGCAGCGGTAGAGGATGGAAAGCACAAGTAGCACATGAGAAAGTTGAGACGGAATGGAAGAGGGGGAAAAAGAGGAGACTACTAGAAGCGGACGGTGTTGCAGAAGCACGAAGAAGCATACCTGATGGAAATGTGGTGGCTGCTTCCTTGAACGAGCGAGCCCTCATCGCTCTCAGACACGTCTCCAGTGGACGCACTCGCATACTCCACTCCCGCCGGCACTGCACCATGCTCCTCCACGCCCCCATGTGCACCACCTCCTGCCCAGCGCCCCTGCGCTAGCTGCCGCGCTGCGTGCCCCGCAGCCCCCTCGCCACTGTTCATGCGCCGCACTCGGATGTCTTCCCCCCCAACTCCTCCGCCTCCCCCACCGCCCGCGGCCTGACCATGCGCGCACGCCGCCTCAGCATCCCCGCCTTTGCGCTCCTCCATCGCGGCCACCCCTGAAGCGTCGAGCTCCCGCTCGCGTTCAGGCAGCTCACGCGCGCCCTCTGCTGCGCATCCGCGCCCGCGCATCCGGTCGTCGTGCACGTGGCGGGTGCGGTACGTTGACGGCGCGGCATCCGTGTGCGCCGGAGGCAACTGCCACGAGCCGTCACCAGGAGCGCCAGCACGGGTGAGATCGATGGCGTGGTGGTGAGGGTCACCCGCATGATGGCTGCGTACCGCTGGCAGATCTGCTTCCGCGACGCCAGTGTTGCGGCCAGCATGGGGACTGTCGTCCTTCCCACTGCAACCAGCAGCCGCGCCGTCAGGCACGTCTGGGTCAATAAGAGTATGAGTCTGGTTGGCCGTTGCACCTTGGAGATTGCCGTCAGCAGCAGCGGTCGGCGCTGCTGCATATGGAGTCCGCAACAACGAGCCTGCATAACGGCTCTCCAGGCCCCTCGGCGTGACAGCCTCTTTCGCGCTACCGGGCGGGCCAGTGCCCACCAGCGCCGTGAATCCCCGAGGCCGCTCGAGGAACAACCTGCCTCGTTCCACGCCTTCCTGCTGCATGGCCCTGAGGCGCTCCATAGGGTCGCCAGACGCCAGAACATCAGGAAGCTCTCCGAACCCCAGATGCCCGTCGTCCATGCCCACGCCTAAACCCAAACCCAGCCCCATACCCATGTGCATGCCAATGGTGCCCAGACCCATTCCCGGTGACGACAGGGCGCCAGGCGAGCCCAGCTCCCACATGCGCCGCACGGAGCCCTCGCTCATGGGGCTGGAATCGAGCCCCGTGCCGTCCATGCCTCGGTACGACTGGGTGAACAGCGCCGTGCGCAACGGGGTGCTGCGCTTGCCGTCGGGTGACTGCCACGTCATCATGCCCCCTGGCGTTGCCTTCGCTGGCGATTCGCCGAAGCCCTCTATCAGCATGCGTGGCTTCTTAGGCGACTGCCAAATTTCAAATGCCCCCGCGCGATCCTTCACACTGCGGAATGGCCTGCAGCCGCCCTCACCAGCACCGGTATCGCCTACTCGCCCAGGTCTGCCACTCCTAGGGTCTTCCCCCACCGCGTCATCTTTCTTCTCCTCTTCACGACGCTCTGCGCCGTCGTTGGTTTGCTGAGGCGGATCGCCGCGTCCCTGCGAGCCTCTTCCGCCCTCGTCACCCGCCGTCGGCGTTTGCGCCGAGCACCCCAGCTCCGCGGCTTCGTCATCCGCCTCGCCGTGCTCCCACTCATCCTCCTCTTCGAGTTTCTCCTCGGCTGTCAGCCCGCCCTCACAGCATTCTCCACTCTGTGCATGCTCGGCATCGTTCAACGACCTCATACGTGAGTTATCCTCTTTCTCTCTCACATTCCCCGAGCTCGCGCGCTCCAGTGGAGTAGCATCCTCGCTATGAGCAACGGGCGGAGCCAAGGTAAGAAATCTATTGTCACCTTCTGCCGCATTACTCGACGGAGGCTCTTGGGTGCACGACGCATGACGTGGCGTCAAAGCGCTTGACTTGCCACTGCCAGAATCATGCGCGCCGTCCTTAGGCTGTTGCACCCAGACGGATAACCGAGAGCCAGCAGGCGCCGCCACCTTCAGCCCAGACGCATCACAGGCAGTGTCAGGTGACGAGCGAACGCGGTCCCCAGGTTGGGGTTTGGAGAAGGGAAGCGAGAGCGAGCGGCGTGGGGAGAGGCTGGGGATGTCGGAGTCTGCCAAAGACTTGCGATCCAGTGGCGACGGCGGCACCTTGCTCGCATCCCCACTGCCCAGAGTCATTTGCGGGGTCGTGGAACCGGGAGACCAGTTCGCGAGCTTCCGAGACGCCCTGAGGAGACACAGCGGATGGACGTGAGACCCCGCACTGCCAACCAAGATGCGAAACGAAACGACCGGAGCACTCGGCTTACCGTCGTAATCGACCTCTGCCGCGAGGTCGTGTGGGAGATCGAAATGGAGGCGAGCGGGACCCATCTTGAAACGCCGCATCTCGCACTGCCCTGGCTTGCTGGATCGGAGAGAGCGCGTCCGCGAACTTTGAGAATGGCGAACTCTGCATTTCAAATGAGTAGACAGCGGACAAAACAAAATGCATCAAATTGAGTTACTTGCGCAAAAAGCAAGAGTATAAATCATGACGACTCAAGAGCTCCATTTATGCCGGACTGAATGCTAAACTTAAGAACAACGATTTGTACGTGAAACCAGCGACACGCCAGCATGACAGTACAAGAGTACTGCGAAGATTAAGACCCAGTCTTGGATACTAAAAGGTAAACTCATCTTGGCTGGAAGAGCCTAAGGAAACTGCTCATCACCGATGAGAGCACGGGGAACTAATAAATGTTCGGGAGCCACACCTGATCGTCATCGCTGAATACTTGCATTGCCTTTGGCTCAGGAGACGAGAAAGTTTCAGCAGTACCCATTCTTGATGGAAATCCAGGATCATTGACCTATCGACTTTCAAAAAAGCAAAAATCCGTTCGCTAGTCTGAGGTCGTTGGGATCACATGGACTGGAGAGGCTTGGTAGCTGCTGTGAGGCTGTAAGAATGGCGATTTTGGGAGAGACGATAGAGGGAAGGCAAGAGGGTCCTGGGATGATCGCGTCAGCCCACATTGCCTAGGGAGCACCGATGGTGGATGAGATTTGGGCCTGAAATGCAATCTCCACCGTTCAACCAAAACTTCAAGCTTTTTGCTTTGCGCCAAAACCTTGCGGCTCCAGCTCCGTTTTCGCCTTCGTTGTTGGCAAGGACGCCTCGTGAGGGGTCTCCCTGGGGCATGCCCGTGGTTGACCGGCTGCTTCGGCATGTCGAACCTCCGCCTTGCGACCACAAAGCCCCCGCCTCGCTCCACAAATGACATGTCATACCTGAAGCCGAGCCTGATGTTTGGTTATGGGAACAGGCTCAGCGTCCATACCTCCATGTCACCATGCATCCAACCTCGGCTTTTGAATTGTCAATTTGAAATGGGGAGCATGGATTCTTCCACCTACGAGATATCGAGGATGGAAGAAACAACAGCTACACTAGAAAATGTTTTAGGAATGCCAGCATATGCATTGGAACATCAACATATTTGCCGTGTTGGATAGAGAACCATACGTTCAGTTTGATATCTATACAATCAGAAAATACAAAAATTGAGAAATTAATCAGCTGATTCTTATCAATGATCCAAGTTGAATGTATTTATTGCAAGAATTCGTTGACATGATTTTTGTTTTACAGTCTCGTAGCGAAAGAGCTCCTGTTTCCCTCTTGTTCCTACTACACTGTGAAGCTTTACATGTTCTGATTGTTTCGATTGATTCCCCACAGCACTCGCAGAACTTTGCAGCGACTTCAAGCCCTTTTCCACAAGCGTCGGCTCACCAACCATCACCCCCCAACCCCAACGCCATGCCATCACCATCCCATTCAAACTACTGTAGTGAAGGCCTCAGGAACATCCGTCAGGCAAATCGGCGACTTATGCGAGCTACGGCGAGACTGTAACCCTGACTACTTCGCTTGTAGCATCCCATAGGTGTGCTTGTTCCAGGGTTTTCTCTCCGCCCCACAATTGTTCTTCTGGTGGTTTCGACCTTGCCGAATGTGTATTTGTTGGGGCCGACGTCATGGCACCAAGGCACGTTCTCCAGTTGGCAACTCGTCCCTTTTTCCACCATGACGGGGTTCTGAACCATGTACTAGTACGTTTTTCTCATAGCCATCCATGCACATGATCAAGCCGCGCGAACCAGCGTTGCACTAAGTACCTCCAGATGCGAAAATGTCGGGCCTTTCATCGGACCTATTGCTGGCAATTCCAACCAGCACGGCGCAGACGGCCATGGTGTCGTCGCCCAGCCGCTCGCCGCGTTCGGCGGTGGTTAGCACCGCTGAAGTGAGTCCGCGAGGTAGGAGATTCCGAGCGGCCATCGACATCATTATTGCGCGAACCGTCGAGTCCTTCTTCGACCTTCCGCCTTCCACCTCGCTCGCGTCGCCGCACAAGGTCAGTCTTTTAACATCAACGGCCTACCAGCCAACACTTTGCGTCGCTTTTGTTAATTTCTCGCGGCAAACGCTCGTCCACCATTCACGATTCAATTCAGTTCTGGAGCCGAATCTCGCAAAGTCTAAAAAGATTCCGGTTTTTTCCTTTTTGTTATTCTCGCCCCTATTCCGCCATTCCCTCACTCTCCTGCCGTCTACCCCATCCATTCTCGCCTTAGCCTCGCTCGCGCTCCGGTTCACCGCAACGCTCCCCTTCGCAAAAGTACCAGCAGGAAAAGCAGCAGCAGCAGCAGCAGCAGCAACAACAGCAGCAGCAACAGCAGGTGGGGCAGCGCAGGCAGCAGGATAATGTGAAATCCTCTCAAGGGCAGCGTGCGGGTGACCGAGCCGCTCAAGCGAGTCAGAGGGGCTTGACTGCGGGAGCTAGGGGGGGAGATGTGGCGGGTGCAGTGGGGATTGGCTTTGGTGGCGGACGCATGTCGGCGTCCGCAGGAGCATTCGGGCGCGGGCCTGGCAGTGCGGTAGACGATGGCGAGGCGGACACGCCCAAGTTCGCGCTCAAGTCACCAGGTCAGTACCGCACCTGCCGGGTCACACGCTGGATAGTGCAACTCAATATTTGCTCTTCTCGAGCAAATCGTATCGCATCTTTTGTCTCCGTTTCCGTGCCCTGCCATTTCCGTCCGTGAGTCTGTTTCCGTGGTGGTATTGTTGTCCTCAGGCTCGTATTCGCCTCGAGGCCGCCCGTCCTCAGACTTCTCTGCACTGCTCGGATCCCGTCCACTGCAAGCCTCTCCCAAACGCGCCTCTGCCGCGCCCTCCTCCTCCCCCACGTCCGCTTCCATCTCCGCCGCCTTCACCTTCCCCCGGCGTCAGCCATTCTCACCGCCCCGCACTCGTCCTTCCCCTCCGCCTCCTCCGCGTCCGCGTCGTCAGCGCCCGCGGATCCCGCAGCAGCAGCAGCAGCGCCCGCGGCGGCCGCCATGGCGCTGCACCAGCCGCTGTGCTTCCCAGGAGCGCAGCCCGTGCATCCGTCCGAGGACGTGCCGTCCCTCGCCGCCGCGTTCGCCGCAGCCAAGTCTGCACAGGCTGCGGCCTGCAAGTCCCCCGTCGCCTCGCCTCTCTCTTCCCCCAGCCCATCCCCCTGCCCCACGCCTTCCCGCCGCCGCCTCCCGCCGTTCCCAGAGCCGCCAATGGCGGCGTGTCTATTCGACGCCATGGATAAGCTTCTCTCTGTCTCCACGGGGGTGGCGGAGCTTGCCGCACCTCCGCCGCCCTCCCTCGCCTCTCTCGCCGCAGCCTCAGATGCTCCTGCTTCCGGCGCGCTGGGCCCTCTGTGGGCGTCAGGCGCAGGAGGGGGTGGGGGGAAGGGGCTGGGCGGGGGACTGGAGGGGCTCATGGGCGGTCTCCACCTGCTTGCGGCAACCTCTGGTGGTGCCGCTGCCTCTTCGTCTGGCGCTGGGGGGGGCATTGGCGCTGGCGGTGGGGGAGGCGGTGGCGGAAGCAGAGGGGCGGGCAGTGGCGGGGCGCAGGCGCGCACGCTGCTAGGCCTGGTGGACCCTCGGGAGGCGGCGACTGCAGTGGCGCCGTCTAAGAGCCGCAGGCAGATGGAGGCGCTTAGGAAGGCGCGCCAGGCGGGGGGGGGGGGGGGACAGCTGGGGCTGGTCACTGGCGCTGCTGAGAGCAGCGGGGGCGGGCACTTGGGACTGGTTGCGGGCTCGTCAGGCGGTGGTGGTGGCGGCGCAGGGGGAAGGGGCGGGGGAGGCGGAGCAGGGCATTTGGGTCTCGTGACGAGCTCTGCTAAGGGGGGTGGTGCAGCGGGTCAGCTAGGGCTCGTTTCCCGTTCTCTTGATAGCAGGGGCGCTACCAGCAAGGTGGCTGCAGGGAGAGGAGGGCGTAGGCAAGGGAAGGCAGGGGCGAGGGGCCACGGTTTAGGGCTGGAAGTGAGGGGGCAGCAGGGAAGGGATGGCAGCAGGGAGCGAGGCGGTCAGGCGTCGGAGATGTCGTCGGGCGAAGCAGAGAATGAGGTGGATGACAAGGCACGGGCTGAGAGGGAGAGGGAGGAGCGGGAGCGGCGGGTGGTGGAGGAGCATGGTCGGGCGGTGGCGGCGGTGGAGAGCATGTCTCAGGCGGACCGAGTGACGTTCGATGGGCCTCTCGTGGACGGCCTCTCCGCGCCCCTGCAGCTCCCCAGCTTCCACGGCCAAGCCTTGCCCTGGCGCCGCTCCAAGGCGCCCCCGCCCTTTGCTGCCGGCGCACATGTTGTGCAGGCAATTTTACAGGCGGAGCGCGAGGAAGCGGATGGCGCAGGGCCTACTCAAACCAGTGAAGCTAAAGCAGCAGAAGTAACAGCGGGAACAGGGACTCGAGCAGCAGCAGCAGTGGCCGGAGTGCAGGGCGGAAGGGCGAACGTAAATGAGCCACCAGTTGCGGCGTCAAAAGAGCAAGACTTAAATTCCGGCTTAGAGACACAGGTTCCTACCATGAGTCTTGCTGCCGCCTTTGGAGGCCTGGCCTTGGCATCTCAAGGAGCAGACGTGGGTGAAGGGAGTTTTGGCTTCGGTGGTGGCAGCGGGGGCAGTAGTGGCAGTGGCGATGAGGGTGGTGATAGCATGGGAGGCGGTGATGGTGGGTTTATGGGTGCGTTCGACTCTCTATTTAATGCGTCGGCTGGTGCTGGCGGCGCAATGGGCTTGCAATTGCAACCGCTGCAAGCATATCAGGTGGACAATGCAGGGGATAAGTCAGAGGAGGCAGGCAAGGCAGCTACCAGGAACGTGAGATTTGGTCTTTCAGCGGAAGACGAGAACAGGGAGAGAGAGCGGGAGAGGGAGGAGAGGGAGAGGGAGGAGCGGGAGCGGCGGGTGGTGGAGGAGCATGGTCGGGCGGTGGCGGCGGTGGAGAGCATGTCTCAGGCGGACCGAGTGACGTTCGATGGGCCGCTCGTGGACGGCCTCTCCGCGCCCCTGCAGCTCCCCAGCTTCCACGGCCAAGCCCTGCCCTGGCGCCGCTCCAAGGCGCCCCCGCCCTTTGCTGCCGGCGCGCATGTCGTCAATGCCATTCTGCAGGCCCAGCGGGAGGGAGCGGACACCGCAGGGCACAAGGCGGGGGAAGGTGGCAGCCGCGAGCAGAAGAAGAGCTCACCTGAAGTTTCTCCTTCAGCGCGCAATGCCCAGCCCCTCCCAGGTGCCAAGGCGGCTGAGACATCCCCTGCACACACAGCATCTGCGGCATCGCCTCCTCAGAGCCTAGCAGCCGCGTTTGGAGGGCTGGCAGGGCTGTCCTCCGGAGGAGCCGGGGGAGAAGAGGAAGGCATGGGGGGCGGCTGGGGGTCCGGTGGGGGAGGCGTTGGGCTGATGGGGTCGTTTGATTCGCTGCTCTCTGCGTCCTCTGGTAGCCCTGCTGCAGGAGGGCCCGGGCAGCTTGGTGCTGCTGCAGGAGCACTGGGCCAGCTTCAGCCTCTCTCGCTCTCGCCTCTCTCTCTGCATGCGTCGCCCTCCGTACCGCGCACCACACCCACGCACCAGTCCGCACCGCAGTCCACCACTCCGTCGCTCCCTCGCGCGCCCATCCTCTCGCCCTTCTCCGACAAGCCAGCAGCAGCTGATTCCCTGGAGACGCTGTTTCAGGTGTCGAAGCTGCACGGGGGAATCTCCCCTTCCATTGACAACCGCCTCCTGCCCGCCTTCCCATCGCCACGCATCCACACCCCCTCACACCTCCCCGCAGGAGTCCCCGCACCTGCCGCAGGGGACCCTGCCAGCGTCACAGACAGCAGTGCAAGGCTGGGAGGAGGAGCAGGGGCCGCTCCTCCCCCCCCAGTCATCCTTGCACCGTTCTCCAACGTACCGGCTGCAGGCGATTCTCTGGAGGCGCTTTTCCAGGTGTCCAAGCTGCACGGGGGGTTCTCCCCCTCCGTGGATAACCGCAAGCTCGCGTCCTTCCCCTCGCCCCCCCTGCACTCGCTTCCCAACCCAACGGCTACTCCACACAAGGTGCCGCCTGGGGGTGGTGCTGCTGCCACCAGCCTGGGCCTCCAGGCAACTGCGCGAATGGTGTTCCCGCGCTCTACGTCTGCCCCCCCCGCGCATGCCGCCATTGATGCTGCAGCTGATGCTGCCCTGCTGCAGCTGGACCAGCCGCTGCGCAGAACAGGCTCGGCTGAGCTGCAATCGCTCTCGCCCACCTCCGCTCACCTGGATGTGAAGGCGCCTTCTGCGCTCACCTCATCTGGTTCCAGTTCTCGTGCCCGTGTTTTTGCTGCTCCACTGGGTATATCTGCAGGTTCCCTCTCTTGCTCTTCCGCTGCCCCTGTCTCTCCATCCGTCCCCTCCTCCTCCTCTCCCTCCTCCGCTGCCCCTGCTTTTGCGTCCACGTCGGCCTTGGCAGCAGCAGCAGCACCAGCACCAGCAGCAGCAGCAGCAGCAGGAGAGGCAGGAGCGGGAGAAGAGTCAGAGCCGCTCTCATCCCTGGCAGCGAATTTCGCGTCTCTGCTTCTAGCCGGGTCAGGGCCAGGCATTCCCCTTGACCAGAGCCCATCCCCCCATGCACGCTTTGCCATGCAAGCCAACATCCCCCACTCGCCGCACCTCGTCTCACCCTCCTCCCGTCTATCCACATCCGCTATCGCCTTCCCCAGTCCGAAGCTAGCCATGAGTCCCAAAATGGCCCTGGCATCGCTGGTGGGTCACCTGGGTCCCGTCAGCCCTCTCTGCGTGCCCTCCCCCGCCTCTCGCCCCTCTGCTTCGCTCCACCCCTCGCCTCCCGCCTCTCCTCTTGAGAAGCTCTTTAATTTATCCAAGGGCGCCGGTGCTGTGCCTCTCTCCCCGACCCTCAGCCCCAGTGGGTCCCGCCCGAAAACCCTCCTAGGCCTTGTCAATCCCAGGGAACCCGCCTCCGCCTCCTCCTCTTCATTGTCCTCCTCTCCTCGCTCCTTTGCCGCTTCAAACATGCTAGGCAGTGACGCTGGTAGCGCAGGGCTGGGGGGCAGTGCCGGGAGAAGTGGCAGTGCCAGGGCAGCAGCTGTGGCAGGGGGTGGTGCTGGTGGTGCGGGCGCTTCAGAGGGGGCTAGAGGCTCTGTGCTGAGACCAAGGCAAGAGAGCACGGGGCAGCAGCAGCAGCAGCAGGTGGGGCGGGTGGAGCAGTCAGCAGAGGTGTACCGGCACGAGTGTGTGGGGCTGACAGACCTGGGTCCCCTGGGGGGCGGTGGGCAGGACGAGAGGCAGTTCCAGCTTGCTCTGCCCAACTTCAAACAGAACGGACCCGCCTTCCTCAGACGCGCCCCTCGCACCACCCACGCCTTGATCCCGCCATAGCATCTGTTGCTGCACCTCCTCCTCCTCCTCCTCCTCCTCCTCCTCCTCCTCCTCCTCCTCCTCCTACTCTTCCTCCTCCTCTTCCTTCTCCCCTTCTAACACCCTAGGCTTGTCCTCCCCTTCCTCTGGCCCTCTAACCTTCTCCCCGCGTGCCATGCCAGCCGCCCTCCAGCCTCACCGTGTGAGTACTGCTGAAAAGACAGGGCCCAGAGGGGGGCGGGGCGAGCAGCAAGTGGGGCTTGGGGAGGGGGAGGGCGCGGAGGGGAGTGACGAAGAGGGGGACGTTTCTGAGTGGTGGATGCGCGCGCCCACTCTGGGCCCTGGCAACTGGGGTATTGGGGACGATCCCCGTGCAGCAGCCTCTGCAGGTGCGGCGGGCGCAGGAGAAGGAGGGGGCAGCAGCGTCAAGTTGGAGAAGTTGGTAGAGGAGGAGAGGGAAGAGGTGGACAACAATGGGGTGGGTGGAGAGGAGGAGAGGGAGGGGGGCGAAGAGGGGCGGGGCAGGAAGGTGCGTGAGCAGGGGGGAATGAAAAGAGAAGGGGGTAAGGGAGGTGGTGCAGGGGGCAAGGTGGAGGTAGATGTCGAGCGCATGATGGGCATGCTGCAGCAGCTGCAGTCGCCCCTGGCGGATGTGCGCGCAGCCCTGGAGGATGGGGGGCGGGGCGCAGAGGAGTTTGAGGCTGCTGCCAGGGCGCTGGAGGCGGACTTGAGAAGGTTTCTGGAAGCGAGGAGGCACACGAAAGATGAGGCAGGGGGTGAAGGGAAAGGGGTGGGGGGGGCTAAGGGAGGCTCTGGCGCTGGGACCGTGGAGGCTGAACAGGAGGGCGGAGGGGGAGGGGGAAGAGGAGGGGGAGTGGGCGAGGGGATGGGCTTGGAGGGGGAGGCGGTGGTGGTGGAATTGCCTGGGCAAGCTGATAGCAGTACCGAAACAGCTGGGAATGGCGGAGCGGAAGGAGGTGAAGGGAGAGAGGGTACGGATGCTGGAGGAGGCGCGGAGAAGGAGGGGTCTGGAACTATTTCAGATAAGTTATTTGCTGCTGAGTCGAAACGCGAGGCGGCCCTTGTGAGAGGCAAGCAGGGAGGCAAGCAGGGGAGGCAGGGGAAGGAGGCGGGGCAGGGGGTAGATGTAGCATCCGGTGCAACCCCACCCGCAGGCACAGGCTCAGGTGTTTCTCCAGCCGCCCTAGAGGCAGCTCTAACACGAGAGCTCCATGCACAGTCCAAGAAGGGCCCGGCCGCACCAGAGGTAGGCGCAGCAGATGCAGCAGGCCAGGCAGGGAGTGGCAGGGCGGGCGAGGGTAGAGGTGGGAAGAGAGGGGAAGCGGTGGAGGTGCCAGTGGTGGGGGGGAAGGTGGTGCTGAGTGGCAAGATCAGGGTGGGGCAGGAGATTCAGTTCTCTGGCACGTGGTCGCCCCTGGGCCTGCCTGACTCTGCCTCTCTCTCCTCAGCACGTGATTCCGCCTCCCCCCCTGGTGCAGAGGAGATAAGATTGGGCGCTCTTGCTGCAGCTGAGGGGGGGGCTGCGGCGGATCCGCAGCAGCAGCAGCAGCAGCAGCAGCAGCAGCAGCAGCAGCAGCAGCAGCAGCAGCAGCAGCAGCAGCAGCAGCAGCAGCAGCAGCTGCTGCTGCAGCGTCGGCGGCACAGGGAGAGGTCACTGCGAAAGCAGGATAGAAGTAAGTCAGGGGTAGTGGTGGGTGCGGAGCGCAGGGCAAGGGGCAGGGAGCAGGAGGAGGAGCTCTCGCAGGGGGAGAGCCTGAGCGAGGCGGAGGTGGAGAGGGATAGGCGACGGCGCAGTGGGCGCATGGTGAGTAGTATTAGCGTGGGGGGCATGCGCATGGGTGTTGGCATGAGCAGGAGTCACGAGGGTACTGTTGAGAGCAGCACAGGGAGTGCGGGAAGCGGGCGAAGTAAGAGGAAGAAGGACCGGTCGGGTGCGGGTGAGGCCGGTGGGGTGGAGTGGGCGAAGGTGGATGGGAGGGGCAGTGGTGGGGATGTGAGCAGGGAGGGTGGTAAGGACGGTGGTAGGGATGGGTTGAAGGAGAGTGGCAGGCGTAAGAAGGGCAGTGGGAAGGGTGCAGGCGGGGATGGTGGATCTGGGAAAGGCAAGGGGGAGTTGGGGGAAGGACATGGTGGCGGGAAGGCGGGGAGGCACGTGGGTGCTGCAGAAGGGGAGGTGGCACGGGTGCTGGGGGGAAAGGAGGGGAAGGAAGTGCGCGGTAGCAGGGACGGGCGGGAGAAGGAGGGGAAGGGAGGGTATGAGGGGAAGCATTCAGAGAGTGTGCTAGGAGGGAGGAAGGCGGGGGGCAAGGCAGCAGATGAGGGGGAGGAGGATGAGGAGGACATGTTTTACGATGCGAGGGAGGTGGTGAGCTCGCCTGCTTCAGAGGACGACAGAGGCAGTGAGCGATCCCTCCGGCACATCATTGCCAAGGCGGCGTCCCCTGGTGTGCTTCCTGCTGCTGCTGCTGCTGGTGGTGATGCTGCTGGTGCTGCTGCTGCTGCTGCAGCGGTGGGGGTTGGGGTGGCGGATGTGGAAGAGAAGGTGGCTGCGAAGCAAGGGAAGGAGGGGAAGAGTGTGTCTGGCGTTGCGAGGACACGCTCGGGGGTGAAGGGCAGGCTTGGGAGTGGTGACAGCAGCAAGGGACGGAGGAAGGAGCACAAGGGCGCGGAGGAGAAGGGAGCACGGGACGAGCTGAAGAGAGGCGGTAGTGGCGTGGCGGCAGCAGGCGGAGGGGAGAGTGCGGCAGTAGAGGGTGATGCGAGGGGCGGTGGTGAAGTTTGTGGTGGTGGGCGCTTAGAGGGTGCAGGGAAGAGCGGGCAGCACGCAGGTAAGGGAGCAGGGAAGCACGGTTCCGGGGAGAGTTTAGGTGGTGGGAGAAAAGACGAGAAGGAGGCGGAAGCAGGGCAGGAGCGACGCAAGCACAAGGGGAAAGGGAGCAAGAAAGGAGCAGAGGCGGTTTCAACAGGAAAGGCCGAGAAACCAGGCGGCTCTGCTGTATCGTCACCTGCACCGTCCTCCACATCTGGTGTCTCTAAATCCCGTCCAGCCACGAGCAGTGGCGACAGCAACCTGTCCTCACAGCCTGTGTCATTATCAAGTGCCCAAGGCCCTCCCCTAGCATCTGCATCCATCCGTCGCACTGTGTCTGACCTCACAGAGGAGATCAGTGCTCTCAAGGCCGCCACTCTCCTCATCACCACCCCTGCTGCTGCCGCCGCCGCGGCTGCCGCTGCAGCTGCGGCCGCTGCCAGTGGCGCCTCTGATTCAGGCGCAGTGAGTAGCAGCGGGGAGAGCGATGCATTCAGTGGGGGTGTTGGGGCAGGAGGAGAGGGGCAGGGAGCACAGGGGGCGCAGCTGTCGCAGCTGTTCACTCCTGCATGCAGCACGGCAGCGGCTCGCAAGGCCCAGCGCACAGCTGCTGCTATCTCTGCTCTGCGCGAGGCAGCGGCACGGGAAGGCCCTCTGCCTGCTCTCGTCTGTGCCCCCCCCACGCTGCCCTGCGGGGACGCCCCGACGCGGGAGGAGGCATGGAGACGCCTTGGCAGCAGCAGGTGGAAAGGACAAGACGACTCAGCTCTAGGCACAGACGGCGCGGCTGCTTTCTCAAGTGGCGATGCAGCGAGCTTCCGGCTGTCATCCCCTGCGCCCCTGGTGTCCCGTGCAGTGCCGGGCTTTGTGGCGCTCGACTTGCCACCCGCTGCGGGTCCCTTCTCCTCTGCGCCGCACAGTGCCACAGCCATCTGGCACATGCTGCAGCTCAACGCCGCGCCGCTGCTGTCAGGCCCGCCCACTGCGCTCATCTCACAGTCGTGCTCGCTCTCCCCTCTGCACTCGTCCGGGCTGGGCTTGGCTGGTGAGCCGCGGTGGGGGTCGGGCACTTTGAGGAGCAGTGTGGATGCGCTGCTGCAGCTGGGGCAGGACGGGGGCGACCTCGAATGGGTAACCGGCAGCACTGCCGTCGCTGGGAAGGGCAGTGCTGCGGAAGGGACTGGTAGTGCCACTGCTGCTGCGGCGGCGGCGGCGGCGGCGGTTGCAGCGTCTCAGCTGAGCCCGTCAGTTCGCAGCCCTCAGGGGGGTGGTGGTGCAGGGGCGGTGGGGCCGTGGAGGAGGCTGGCAGTGCCGATTCACCAGGTGCCGGGGGACAAGGAGGATTACGAGGAGGGGCAGGTGTGCCCTCTCTCACGCTCCAACAGTGCCAATGTGGAAGCGCTTCTGGCTGATGCTCACACTGCTGCTGCCACTGCTGCCGCTCTCTCTGCTGCTGCTGCGAGCTTGCTGGGTGGCATGGGAACCAGTGGAGGGTCGCCGCTTAAGGCGAACAGAACGGCTGGAGTGGGGGTGGAAGGCGAGGGGGGTGTGGAGGAGGGGGTGGATGCAGGTGGTGGTGGTGGTGCTGTGGCGTCTCAGGGCCGGCAAATGGACAGCACGAGCGGGAGAAAGAGCAGAGCAAGGGGCAAAGGGAAGCGCAAGGAGATGGCTATTGCGGAGGAGGAGAGTGGGGCGGAGGAGGGCATGCAGGCAGGTGCAGGGGGCAGCGACAGCAGTGTGGTGTTTGCAGCGCCGTCTGTTTCAGGCCGAGCAGGCAGCAGCAGCAGCAGCAGCAGCAGGAGCAGCAGCAGGAGCAGCTCCAGCAGGCTCCGCCCCATGAAGACGGCCCCTGCTGGCGCCCTGGCTTCTCTGGCCAGCTTCTTTTCCTCCAAGGCTAAACACACCCGCAGCGGCAGCACAGGCGAGGATGATGCCAGTGCTGCTGACAGCGGCGACGCTAGCAGCAGTCGGAGCAATGGGAGCAGTGGCGTGGAACGAGAAAGTGCTGGGGCAGCAGGAAACGGTGGGAGTGTGTGGGGAGCAGCAGAGGCTGCTGTTCGAGCCACACATCCCCATGCACACGCACCTGCTGCCCAAGGTGCCATGCCTGTGCCTCATGCCCATTCCGCCCCCGACGCTGCTGCTGCGTTTTCTGCAATGTCGTCTCCCAGCAAGTCCCCTCTCGCCCCACCGCAACTGCCTGCACCCGCGCCTGCAGGGGCAGCAGGGCTTGCGGGCGCCCTTGCTGCTGCCTCTGTCGCGGTAGGCACAACTGGGGGAGGCTCATATGGTGGCAGGCATGGTGTGGAAGGGTCCCGTGCAGGAGACAGCAGTCCAGGTGCTCACGACCCCTCCAGCATTGCTGCTGGCAGTCCCAGCATCTCTCTGTCCCGCGGCCTCTCCCCTCTCTCCCGCCCTGCCTCCTACGCCTCTGCTGTTTCAAGCACATCTGGTGCAACCGCTGCAGCAGGTGCAGGGGCGGGTGGAGATACGGGTTCGGGTCCTAGCGGTGTGGTAGCGGCATCAGCAGCAGCAGCACAGCCAGCGGGATCGCAGCTCCCAGCAGCAGCAGGGCTAGGCTCAGATGCGACGGAGGAGGAGTGGCGAGACGCGGGCAGCGGCAGCAGCAGCAGCAGTCCCGTGCGGTCAGTTCGGTCGTGCCAGTCCGCAGGGAGTGAGGTGCACGTGCAGCAAATCGTGCACCACCACCACCATCACCACCACCACCACCACGGCTTCCACCCCTTTCGCCGCAAGAAGGGGCGCAAGCACACAGCGGTGGAGACCGTGGTGCAGACAACAACAGTGGAGGAGATGGGGGGGGAGGGGAGCATGGGGGGCATGTCAGCGTCCCCATCGAGCAACAGCTTCATGAGTGCGAGCAGCTTCAAGAGCCAGAGCAGTGTGGCGCAGCTCATTCCCCACCAGCGCACCAACAGCAGTGGCGGCAGCAGCACACGCGGCGCCTCGCCTGGCAGCAGCAGGGCATCCACGGCTGCCTCTGCTGGTGGGGCTGGTGGCGCTGGTGGTGGTGCGAGGGGCAGCACGGGTGGCAGCAGCAACGGTGGGGTGTCGTCACGGTCGGCGTTTCAGGACTCGGTGGGGGCAGCGCTGAGTGGAGGCGAGTCGGAGGCAGACAGTGACATGGACGTTATTGATGAGCAGGTGGGCGCGGGTGTACTCACAGGTACCAGCAGCAGCACGTAGCAGGTAGCATACTGCACCGTACCGTACCATACCATTACCATTGCGTACGGTATTGTACCGTACCATAGCAGCTGCACCATGCCATATCCATGGCAACACGCCATTGCCAGCCCCTCTATTCCTAATTCGATGCGTTGTTTTTCATTGCTGTCCGTACATCACTCTCTCCTTCATCTCTTTGCCCCCCGCACACCCATCTTCACATCCCCCACAGGCGCTTCTGGCAGCAGCCAAGCGCACAGCAGGCATCACTTGCTGTGTGCGGCCCCGGGTCTTTGACTGACAGGGGTGTGCAATATGATAGAATCAGAAGTACATGTTGAGTATTGTAGTTTATATAGACTTCAGGACATACGCTACCTTATTTGTCATTCTTTAGGGTCACGACTATTTGCGTGACTGAAACGCCCAGCTGGGAAGGAGGACAGTTGACCTGACCTGGCCCTTGAAGTTGAGCACATTCGCTACCATGTCATTGTTGTCTGTAACAATGTCATAGTGTGTGTAGTCTATAGGAATGCTGTCCATTATGGCATGACTTTATCATACCAGGAGCATGTGCACCAGGGCTAATGTTTGGTTTGGAGCAACCCTTATTATCAGTGCTGCTCTAGTGCAAATTCCTGTGCACTGAAGGTACCTATACTTGTTTTCCATTACAAGACCGTGCACGCAAAGGGGAGGCTCATTGAAGAAAAAGTCATACGCTAGTTGTAGCTACACATTTCCACTTTTATACATATATGGAGATAAACGTTTCAGCAGAATCCTTCCTGAACAGTCAGATCAGTGATCAAACCAACACTCCCAGAATCTTGGGGGAAAGGTAAGTTATCCTGGTTAGAGTGAGAGAAGACAGGTACAAAGTGATCATGTACATGCACACACGTTCACAAACGAATGAACACTGTATACACACCTGTATGCACACGTGCAAATATGCATGCTTGTTTTATTCAGCACGCACGGCTACCATTATACTGCACACTGTTGCGCCCCTTGCCACTCCCATCACTCACTGACACACCCGTTCTCACTGCACTGCGCTGTCACCACTCACTCTATGTCGACTCTCATTCCTTCTCTACACTCACTTGCACCACCCCTTCCTTCACCACTGAACCCAACCACTCACCAGCGGATCCCAGTCTTCACCACTCTTCACCCCTCTTCACCACTGATTCCCTCCACTCACTCTGACAATTCACTCTCACTGAAATCAACTTTCACTCGATACCCATTCTCACTGCGCTCTCACCACTCACCATACTAATCGACAACTCATACACACTCTCCCCGCACAGTGTCACCACACTATTACCATTCTGGCCACTCAATCTCACCACTCCAACCTCACCATGCTCTGTGTTCTCATGCAACAGGTGGCATCACTGCCACCCAAGGGGACTCAGCCCCTTTCAGCTCACTGATTGTTGCTCACGGATTGGAGCTCACTGATTGTTCTCTCACCCGCCTAAGGGGACTCAGCCCCTTTCACTTGCTCTCACTCACCATGCACGAGCATCATGCTTCCATGCTTAAGGGTGGCATCAGTGCAACTCATCATGTGCCCCCAACCAGCCAAGCATGAGCATCATGCTTCCATGCTTAAGGGTGGCATCAGTGCAACTCATCATGTGCCCCCAACCAGCCAAGCATGAGCATCATGCTTCCATGCTTAAGGGTGGCATCAGTGCAACTCATCATGTGCCCCCAACCAGCCAAGCATGAGCATCATGCTTCCATGCTTAAGGGTGGCATCAGTGCAACTCATCATGTGCCCCCAACCAGCCAAGCATGAGCATCATGCTTCCATGCTTAAGGGTGGCATCAGTGCAACTCATCATGTGCCCCCAACCAGCCAAGCATGAGCATCATGCTTCCATGCTTAAGGGTGGCATCAGTGCAACTCATCATGTGCCCCCAACCAGCCAAGCATGAGCATCATGCTTCCATGCTTAAGGGTGGCATCAGTGCAACTCATCATGTGCCCCCAACCAGCCAAGCATGAGCATCATGCTTCCATGCTTAAGGGTGGCATCAGTGCAACTCATCATGTGCCCCCAACCAGCCAAGCATGAGCATCATGCTTCCATGCTTAAGGGTGGCATCAGTGCCATATGGCTCATCATATGCCAACGCCAACCCCACTGCCTCTCACCACACTCACCCCATAACCACCATCGCCACCCAGCCCACCCATCCCCACCCCACCTTACCTGCCAGCAGTAGGAGCAGCAGACAGCTCACTCCCCTTCGGAAACAGCACCACCAGGGGCTGTGCCTTGAAGGGAGAGGTGTGGTAGTGGAAAATTGCTTCCAGCCCAAGACTCAAATCCCGCCCCTGACGTAGCTAGAGCTGACGCGAACCAGAGTCGCCGGCCGGTCGACTCTGACGGTGCCCATTAAGCCTTAACGTCAGGTTAGTTACTTGAGCACCGAGTGCCGTGCCGCGCAGATTCCACCCACCACACCCCGACCCGCAAGGCACATCCACAGAGGATGCTGCCCCTGAGAGAGTGACCTGCCCACTTGCTCTCATGCTTCCCACCGCCTCCCCACTCTCCCCTTCACCCCATGCCTCTTACCTCTACCTACCACAGCCATGCAGAGCGCCATGATGCCTCAGGGTGTTGGGAAGTAGGGAGGGAGGAGGAGGGGGGGGTGGTGGGGGTTAGTGCGATGGCTCCGTCCCGCCCTTGCTCCCTCTCTCCCTCAGGCTGCGTCGATCGTGCTGGAAAGTGGGGAGGGGGGCAGCGGGAGGGAGAAGGGGAGGGGTAGGTGAGGATGAAAAGAGAGGTGCCTCTGTCCCGCCCTTGCTCCAGTGCTCCCTCCATACTCAGGCTGCAAAGAGGGGTGGGGAGGAACAAAGAGAGGAGGGGATCAGATCTCCATACCAAACCTGTTACCATACCTTACCTGATACCATACCACACCTCGCTCACGACTCGACCTAACCTAGCCCGCCTCTGACCCCCCACCCCCCCCTGCTGCTGCTGCTGCTGCTGCCGCTTCTGCTACTCAGCTTCTCTGCTACAGTCTTCTCTCGATGCCCAGTGGCCTGCAGGGGTGGGGGCAGAAGAATAGGGGGAAAGTAAAAGAAAGTGAATAGGCTGGACTAGAGAAACCAATGAACTGAAGTTGACGAGAAAGAGAAGGCGGAACTACAGAGCAAAAATAGAGAGGGTTGAGGGCAAAAGGCGAGGCGGCGTACCTTGAGAGGCCAAGCCCACCCCGATACTCTCCCTTGTGGCAGCGACTGGCAGAGCTGCCCCCCTCCCATCCCCACAGACAAGCACCTGCACGGCCACAGGCGAGGGGGGTGGAGGCAGACGAAAGGGGGGGAGTGAAAGCAAGTGAGTTGGCTGGACCAGAGAAGGAAAAAAAACAAAACAGAAGTTGATCGAGAAGGCAAAACTGAAGAACAGAAAGAGAAAGAGACGAGGGCAAGAGGGCAGGTGACGTACCTTGAGAGGCCAAGCCCACCCCGATACTCTCCCTTGTGGCAGCGACTGGCAGTGCTGCCTCCCTCCCATCCCGACAGGTACCTGCACGGCCACAGGGGAGGGGCGTGAGGGAGCGTCGGTGTTGACCCCCGCCCCTCCCCTCCACCTGCAAGGCACATACGCAGAGCTGGTCAGTGGTCAGCGAGGGGAGGAAGGGTGAGAGTGCAAGAGCGAGAAGAGAGTTCGCAAGGCGAGAGCAGGGAGGGGCCACTGGTGGAGGCCAAGCCACAAAGCACAGACCCCAAGGGGTGAACCTGAGAGGGTACCTGCACCTGAAAGGGTTACCAGCACCTGAAGGGGTTACCTGCACCTGATCTACACCTGAGGGGTTACCTGGACTTGGGGGGTCTGTGGCCTGTGAGGCGGACCTAACCAGTGGCACTGCTTCAAGAGGAAGGGTGTGAAAGCAGATGCGAAAAACGAAATGGCAGCAGCAAGGGCGAGGGCATGGAGGAAGGAACACTTAGCTGATTGTGTGAGAGCGAGCAGAGGGCAGCTGCAGCACCACTGCAGTCTTCACTCGATGCCAAGTGCTCTGGTAAAAGGGGGAAGAAAGGGGGGAAGAAAGGGGGGAAGAAAGGGGGGAAGAAAGGGGGGAAGAAAAAGAAGAAAGGGGGGAAGAAAGGGGGGAAGAAAGGGGGGAAGAAAGGGGGGAAGAAAGGGGGGAAGAAAGGGGGAAGAAAGGGGGGAAGAAAGGGGGGAAGAAAGAAGGGGGGAAAGAAAGGGGGGAAGAAAGGGGGGAAGAAAGGGGGGAAGAAAGGGGGGAAGAAAGGGGGGAAGAAAGGGGGGAAGTAAGGGGGGAAGAAAGGGGGGAAGAAAGGGGGGAAGAAAGGGGGGAAGAAAGGGGGAAGAAAGGGGGGAAAAGAAAAAGAAAGGGGGGGGAAAGGGGGGAAGAAAGGGGGGAAGAAAGGGGGGAAGAACGGGGGGAAGAAAGGGGGGAAGAAAGGGGGGAAGAAAGGGGGGAAGAAAGGGGGGAAGAAAGGGGGGAAAGAAAAGGGGGGAAGAAAGGGGGAAGAAAGGGGGGAAGAAAGGGGGAAGAAAGGGGGGAAGAAAGGGGGGAAGAAAGGGGGGAAGAAAGGGGGAAGGGGAAGAAAGGGGGGAAGAAAGGGGGGAAGAAAGGGGGGAAGAAAGGGGGGGAAGAAAGGGGGGAAGAAAGGGGGAAGAAAGGGGGGAAGAAAGGGGGGAAGAAAGGGGGGAAGAAAGGGGGGAAGAAAGGGGGGAAGAAAGGGGGAAGAAAGGGGGGAAGAAAGGGGGAAGAAAAGGGGGGAAGAAAGGGGGGAAGAAAGGGGGGAAGAAAGGGGGAAGAAAGGGGGGAAGAAAGGGGGGAAGAAAGGGGGGAAGAAAGGGGGGAAGAAAGGGGGGAAGAAAGGGGGGAAGAAAGGGGGGAAAGAAAGGGGGGAAGAAAGGGGGGAAGAAAGGGGGGAAGAAAGGGGGGAAGAAAGGGGGGAAGAAGGGGGGAAGAAAGGGGGGAAGAAAAGGGGGGAAGAAAGGGGGGAAGAAAGGGGGGAAGAAAGGGGGGAAGAAAGGGGGGAAGAAAGGGGGGAAGAAAGGGGGAAGAAAGGGGGGAAGAAAGGGGGAAGAAAGGGGGGAAGAAAGGGGGGAAGTAAGGGGGGAAGTAAGGGGGGAAGAAAGGGGGGAAGAAAGGGGGGAAGAAAGGGGGAAGAAAGGGGGGAAGAAGAAAGGGGGGAAGAAAGGGGGGAAGAAAGGGGGGAAGAAAGGGGGGAAGAAAGGGGGGAAGAAAGGGGGGAAGAAAGGGGGGAAGAAAGGGGGGAAGAAA